AGGAAACTGTATTTGGTGGTGGAATGCAGAGAGAGCTGGTAGTAGTAGGAAGTGAATGAGAAACTAGTCAACGAGTAGTAGTGACTGTTTTATTCTTAAATTGAAAGAAAATGTATCTTATCAGGGCAACTTAAGGTTTTCCACACATGCCTCTCAAAAATTAACATTCCAGAGAATTGCTATTAACTGTAGGGTCTAACACTGCAGAGACGTCTGACAATGGGTCATGAAATCTTGATGCCTTCCAGTTCCATGTTTGAGTTACGACAGGTCACAGTCACAGCATCTGACAAAAAGGTGGGAATCCTTAGAAGATGATGAGTAAGCATGATTATGTTGTTGTTCAGTTACTCAGTCAAGTCTCTGTGACCCCATGGACTGCAGCATAACATGCTTCCCTGTCCTTCACCATCTCCCAGAGCTTGCTCAAACTCATGTCCATTGAGTTGGTAATGCCATCCAACCATCTCATCCTCTGTCGTCCCCTTCTCCTCCTGCCTTCAATCTTTCCCAGCATCAGGGTCTTTTCTAATGAGTCGGCTCTTTGCATCAGGTTGCCAAAGTACTGGAGATTCAACTTTAGCATCAGTCCTTCCAATGAATATTCAGGATTGATTTCCTTTAGGATTGACTTGTTTTCTCCGACACCAGAGTTCAAAAGTATCAATTTTTTGGCGCTCAGCCTTCTTTATGGTCTGACTCTCACATCCATATGTGACTACGGGAAAAACTATAGCTTTGACTAGACCGACCTTTTTTGGCAAAATAATGTCTGTTTTTTAACATGCCATTTAGGTTGGTCATTGCTTTTCTTCCAAGGTGCAAGCATCTTTAAATTTCATGGCTGCAGTCACCATCTGCAGTGATTTTGCAGCCCAAGAAAATAAAGTCTGTCACAGAGACTGACTACAATGAAAATAATTTTGTAACTAAAAGTCTGTCAGGATTTATAGGGATGGAGAATGGTGGACCATGTTCTTCTTTCTCAGTCTTCTGCACCATACACACTCCAGAGCAAGGGAAAGAACAGACTGACAGTCAAGTATCAGATGCTGTTTTTAATGTTTTATACACACTGCTTTACTTAACCCTTATTAACAACTCTGCAAAGAAGTCAATCAAATCTCACTTAAAATGTAGCAAAATGAAGGCTCAAGTTAATCTTTATACAAAGGGAATTGGAACAAATCCAGGCTTCTAATTTCAAGGAAAAGGGAATTTTAAAGGGCCCCCTGAATTTGTAATCTTAATGATTCTCAAAATATCTCCGTTTTACAGATAAGTAAACAGAAAGAGGGATGAGATGACTTGCCCAACTAATGTTACATAACCAGTAAGTGGCAGAGCTGTCGTTCAAGTCAAGCTGATTCCATAGCCCACATTCTTCACATTATAGTCTCCTGCTGCCAAAGACAATGAGAGCTATACTGGGCAACTCTGGAGTGAGATAAAGAGTCTTCAATATTGGACTAAACCATCTAAATTTGGGTCAGAAAAGTGACATTTGTGTTCTGATATCTTTTAAATTCGTCCACCTCAATAAAATCTTAAGCTCACTGATGCTCTCTTTTAAATTAGTAATTCAAATTTTGAGGGACTGAAGAGCCCACTGAATTAAGCTCACAGCAAGGGGAAGAAAAGGACCTGAAATGGGAGAAAAACAACGTTTCAGGAGCTACAGGCTCTAATCCTGGCTGTAGCACAACTTTGATTAAGACACAGGGATCTCTGGCTTCTGTTTCACTACCTGCAAATCAAGAGTATTCAAGGCAGAATCTCAGAATGTAACTGTTTAGTACTTTGGAAAACAAAATTTCCACACCAGTAAAGTCCCCAAATTGCTGTGTTTGGAGTTTAAGACTGTGCAGTGATTCAGAAGGTGTGTGCTGACCAGTGCTTTCTGCTTGAAGCTTGCTCCATCATTTTCTGAAGAGCCCTGCACAGATATGGAATAGCAAAGCAACCAGAGACATGTAGTCTTATTTAAGAGGTACTTTTATTTTTGCCAAGTTAAGGGTATTAAGGTGCATACTGGGCTATGCAAGTGGTGCAGTGGTAAAGAATCTGCCTGCCAATGCAGGAGACACATTCCATCCCTGGGTCAGGAAGATCCCCTGGAATAGGAAATGGCAACCTGCTCCAGTATTCTTGCCTGGGAAATCCCATGGACAGAGGAGCCTGGTGGGTTACAGTTGTTGGGGTCGCAAAGAGTCAGATATGACTGAGCAACTGAGAACAGCATAAGGAACATAACATAAATATGGAACATTTCATGAAACACTCAAAATAGTAGTAATCCCTGTGTATTAGAATAGTGGACTTCTCCCCTAATGAATAGTGTTCCATTTTTAATCCTAGAGAGGTTCTTTGCCAATATGACAGCACTAGGCTTACTTGTTTGCCAGAAATAGTCCTTTCAGCTGTGATGGGAATGACTTATTCTATGTGTCTGTCCTTACTTACTGTGTGACTCTGGGCAAGGACCTTCATCTAAGCCTATCTTTATCTTTAAAGAGACAATAACATAACATAATTTAAGTTATAGTGCCTTACACAGTAGGGGCTGAAAAATGAGGCAGCCTAGTATATCAGAAAAAAAACCTGCAGCAGAGAAACTTTGATACAGATACCCAGCACTGCCATTTACTAGCTAAGTAAGCTTGGCAAAGTGATTCTGCTTAAGCTTTAGAGTGGGGCCAGTAACTTGTATCTTCTTTTAAAAAATTAAATGATACTATACTAAAGTGGCTGTTGCATAGTAGTACTAAGCAATTAGTACTTTTATTAACAATTCTATACAATCTAGAAAGGTGCACAAAAGTTAGTATCCTCTTACCAAAAAAAAAAAAAAAATCACTTAACAAGGACATTCAGAAAGCAATATATTTTAACACATAAATGGCATCATTTTATAACCTCCTGATATTTTACATTTGACCAGTAAATGCTGCAAAATGGCTTAGGCTGGGTCCTGCTATAACGTGATTTCTGGGGCTCTGGAGATCATATGACAACAATAGTCTTCTGATATATTTATGTTTGGTAACAACTTACTATATCCAGCATATAACACCTGTGGTATATATTTCAATGTGTTAACATATTCAACTCCAAAATCTATAGAAGAAATTTAATTAGGTTGCCTAACAATTCTCGAATTCTGTTTACAAATTATGTGATGCCCCAAATTGTCCCAAAAAATGCTAGCTTGTAAAATAATTTTTTCTTTCAGAATACAAGACACATTTAACATACAGATTTTACGATAAAGTTTATTAGCTGTTCTCCTCTTTCTCATAAATGGAATGGATAACGTCGATAATTCTTTACAAACCAGTATGTATTTAAGAAACTGTAATGAGGAGGCTGTCAAAAACACATATTCAATAAACAACTCCAAAAAAAGCCATGGGAAGCCAAACAGTATTATAAAAGACCAGAGAAATTGATTTCTGAAATTGTTACTTACTTTTCACTAAAATTTCTTAATTGCTCACCATGAAGACCTGTGCAACTCTACAGCAGAGCAGCTACAAGAGATGAAAGGTGTACAGTCTGAGAGGAAAACACTCATACACATGAGGCTTTTGCCTTTAATAAAGGAGAACTGGAAAGAGGTGGAGACCAAATCCAAACCCAATGACAAGAACAACAGTTTAACAACAAAAAACCGCCCCCCTGAATAAACACCCCCCACAAAAAACCAACCAGGAACCATCTGAAAACTTCTATAGAAAAGAGGAGAACATGCCCATGTTTTTACTTATAACCTAATTTCCCTAAAGGTTTCTTTGCACACCACCATACTCTCATTTTCACTTCACAAGATTAAGGAAGATAAAGTCTAATCAATTAATATTTAATTTAAAAATCAAACAAAAAGAGTAGGTGGCAAAAGAAAAAAATATATTTTAAATATACATATATATGTTTGTGTGTGTGTGCAACTATGTAAAGAAAATAATTCCCATAGTTACAGAGTTTAAAGAAAGTTTTATATATATTTATATATATATATATTTTATTATAACAAAATAGTCAGTTATTGTGGGTAAAATATTCATTAAAATCTGACCTTTAAGAATGTATTTAAAGTTTTAGACTATGTATTGGACTTCTTTCCCACTGCCATAATGAATACTACATTACCACTGTAATGTCTGTTTTGTATTTATGTCCATGAAATCTTCTCAACCTTATGTGTAAAAGGTGAGCTCCCCAAGCACCTAAACATGGCCTCAATTCAGAAAATGTAATGATCATTATGTATGAACAACTTTTGTAAGACACTATAAATAGTGTTGCACAAGTAGATTAAAAACATTTAAAGACTGTTATTCCTAGCAAAACTACTGGGAGAAAAAAAAACAAACTTCAAATAATAAAAGACTTTTAAGAAGAACGCTTATGAAAAATGAATATCCCTTGTGAAATTATTAGTTAACTCAGATACTCATTTTGAAATTAAGAAACATATTTTTGTTATTTGTCTGTATGAAATATTTGCTTTGATAACAGAGTCAATTTGAGAAAAGGACTTGAGAGTTAACATATTGGCCAAACCATGCTATTAAAGTTAAGCGTGCATTGTTGCTCAAAATTCACTAAATCATTAAAACCACTTTTCTTTCATTTATATTGAAATTTGGAAAGACTGTACATAAAGCTTTTCTGAAAATCTCTTAAGGTTACTTTCCCTTAAACATTAAGGAATTTTACCACAATTACCCCATCTCTTGAAATCCTATTAATAGCTGGTCAGGCCATTTCCACCTTCAGCTGTGAAAAATGGCCACAAACCAATAGTGACATGAAATAATACAGATGGTACAACTTGAGGGAGACACTAAGACATCAAAAATAAGTGCAACTGCAGACCATGATGAGTGGGATATGATTCAACAAGAAAGAAGAAATGAAGACAGACTCAAGAAAGAAAGGGCAAAGAAGTGTTGAAGAAAATGAGACTGTGGAAAAGAGAAACAGAGAAACATCAGTCCTCATAACTTTTCTTTTGCTGGAACCCAAATGTAAGGACCAGACTGTTCTTCTATGATCTGCTTCACTTGGTTGTAAATGTCTTCCAGCGTATCTCCCTGTACAATAGCTGTAATGATAGAATCAGAAACCTCCATTAATTGCTTATCTTCACCATTACACTTATTTGTAAAATAACTAGAAACACTTATTCAGGGAGAAATACTGTTTATGTACTGTTTAACTAGTAAAAAGCTCATTTTATTAACTTTCCTATTTGTAAAATAGAAAACATTTTATTTCAAAAGTTTATCAAAAAGCAAGATTTGGTGATTTTTACTTTGTGCATTTGGGAAACAGACACTGAAGTAATTAGAAGCAAAAGAACAGCTATCTGCAACTTACTCTTAAATGTTTCATAAAAAAGTATAAATGTGGTAAAATGTTAAGTGCTGGTGGAATATGAGTATATGTAAGTGTTGGTACTATTCTTGTGATTTTTCTGTTAAGTCTGAAATTATTTAAAAATCCTTAACAAAAAAACACTTGGGTTACAATTCCATGATACTTAATGGTACTTATTAATAATATGAACACCAAATATAAGCTAATCAGTATTTCAAGCAAGTAATTAACAACAAAAACCTATCCAAAGATAGCTAAGGAATAACTGGAATAAAATTTGGGAACTGAATTTGGGAAGTGCTCTCTACTCTTCTCTTTCTAAACAAATATCTTAAAAATGGATCAAAATTTATAAATGATAAGAGAAAAATCAGTATCATAAGAAGAAATCAACTCTGAATGTTTCCTTCTGGTCCTGTACATGCTGTCCTTATCAACAACCTAAGATACACTAAATTTCAAGATTCTTCATCACCACAACCTAGATTAGATGAATTATTCTGAAAATGATAGCACTTATTATTACTACTGGTAATTGTGGACATAGTTCAAAATTCATTTCAATGAGTCAGTTCTTATGGCCCCAAAGCAAAATTCTAACATACAAGCATCTACACATGATGCCAACCTGTGAAATGTTCAGTAAATTCTTGTTCCAGTTTCATGGCTCTCTCAAACGTCTTTCTGGCTTGCTCTTCTGTCAGACGCTTATTCATTTCCCTAGGCAAATAAATTTAGAAATTAATAATTACTACATTATAATACTTTTGAAAAAGGGTGACAAAGGAGAGAAGACACATATAAAATCACGAAAAGGTGAGGTCTGTTGAGAAGTGTAATGTAATTGCAAACTATATTCAGTCACTGACCATGTAGCTTTGTATCTGGAATGACAGAAGGGTTTCAAAACTTTCTCGCATTAGCTCAGGACAGCCAAAAAACCCCAAACATTAACTTGTCAGTTTTGACTTTCATGAAAATCTCATATTAAAATATGACTTACAGATCTACTTACCAACTTATAAGGTAGTAAAGGGAATACATGAACACATTAAATAATACCATGAGAAGGCAATCAGCAAAACAGTCTGGGTGAAACTGCGGAGTAAATGAGTTGGTTTCTTCAACAAAGAAACAGAAAAAAGGCAAAGATGGGAGGGAGAATCTGTAGATCAAAAGACTTAACAAACTGTCATGAATAGACTGTCTGGAACTTGATTCAAACAAACTGAAAAAACATAAACTTAAGAAACAAGAAAATATGAACTATCTGATGCTATCAAGGAATTACTGTTTCAGTGTGACATCACAGTGATGTTTTTAACAAGGAATTTTATCTTTCAAATACATATAAAGATGTACGGATGAAATCATATGTCTGGGATTTGTTTCAAGATAATCTGGAGTGGAGGGTTAAGGAGGTGTTGGGATAGATAAATAAGATTAGTTGTAGTTAATAATTATATTACAGATGGATGATGGATATATGAAAGTTTGCTCCCAACTTAAGAGAGAAAGCTTTCAATGTTTCACCTTCAAATATGACATTTGCTTTGATAGTCTGTCGATGACTTTCATCAGAAAAAGGAAAATTCCCTTTTATTCAGTTTACAAAATGTTTTTGTGATGAATAAATGTTAATTTTACCAAATGCTTTTTTTTACATTAAAATGATCTTTTTTACTAAAAAAAAAATTATTTTTTGGGGGGGGTTGTGCTGTGCAGCTTGTGGGATCTTAATTCCCCAACCAGGGACTGAAACCGAACCTGGGTCACCACAGGAAATCACCAAGTCCTAATCACTAGACTGCCAGGGGAATTCCTGTAAAATTGTTAATGTGGTACACTACACTGACTTTTTAAAAAACTGAAGTACTGCTGATTTAAAATGCTCTTAGTTTTAGGTGTAGAGCAAAGTGACTCTGTTTTATCTATATATCCATATGTGTACATATATTCTTTTCATATATATTATATATACTTTTCCAGATTCTTTTCCATTTTATGTTATTCAGTTCAGTTCAGTCACTCAGTCGTGTCCGACTCTTTGCGACCCCTTGAATCACAGCACGCCAAGCCTCCCTGTCCATCACCAACTCTCGGAGTTGACTGAAACTCAAGTTCATTGAGTTGGTGATGCCATCCAGTCATCTCATCCTCTGTCGTACCCTTCACCTCCTGCCCTCAATCTGTCCCAGCATCAGGGTCTTTTCCAATGAGTCAACTCTTCGAATGAGGGGGCCAAAGTATTGGAGTTTCAGTTTCAGCATCAGTCCTTCCAGTAAACACCCAGCACTGGTCTCCTTTAGATGGACTGGTTGGATTTATGTTATTACAAGATACTAAATATAGTTCTCTGTGCTGTACAGTAGGTCCCTGGTATTTATCTATTTTATATAGAATAGCATGTGTCGATTAATCCCTCAATTCTTATTTTCCCGTCTCCCCTTTGGTAATAATGTTTGTTTTCTATAATACATTGATTTTTAAAAATTACTTTAAAAATTGTGATAAAGGGGCTTCTCTGGTGGTTCAGATGGTAAAGAATCCACCTGCAATGCAGGAGACCCAGGTGGATCTCTGGGTCAAATATCACATGGTAATCTGATTTTTAGTATGTTGAGAAAGTCCCATACTATTTTCTACAGCAGCTGCACCATTTTATATTCCCACCTACACAAGAGTTCCAGTTTTTCCACATCCTTGGCAGCATTTATTTTCTGCTTTTTGACAGTAGCCATCCTAACGGGTGTGAGGTGGTATGTCACTGTAGTTTTGATTTGCATTTCCCTAGTGATTTGTGATGCCAGGCATCTTTTAATGTGCTTACTGGCCATTTGTTTATTTTTCCTCTTTGGAGAAATATCTATTCAAGTCCTATCCCCATTTTTGAATCAAGTTTTACATTGTTGTTGAGTTTTCTATATATTCTGGATTTTAATCTGTTTTAAGATCTATGATTTACAAATATTTTCTCCCTTTCTATGGGTTACCTTTTTATTCTGTGGGTAGTGTCTTTTGATATAGAAAGCTTTAAGCAGTCACAAAGTCTAACCTCCCTGTTTTCTTTTCTTACCTGTGTCTTTGGTGTCATATCTAAGAAATCACTGCCAAATCCAATGTTGTGAAGCTTTTGTCCTATGTTTCCTTCTAAGAGTTTTACTGTCTTATGTTTAGGGCCTTGATCCATTTTTAGCTGACTTTTGTATGTAGTGTTAGGTAAGGGTCCACCTTCATTCTTTTGCATGTGGATACACAGCTTTCCTGGCATCATCTGTTGAACAGACTATCCTTTCCATTTTTTTTTAAAGATTTTTGTTTGACATGGACCATTTTTAAAGTATTTACTGAATTTGTTACAATACTGCTTCTGTTTTATGTTTTGGTTTTTTAGCTACAAGGCATGTGGGATCTTGGTTCTCCAACCAGGGATTGAACCTGAACCTCCTGCACTGGCAGACGCTGAACCCTGAACAAGGCTGGGGTTAGGGATGCCAACCCTCCACACAGTTGAAAATCTGTGTATAATTTAACAGTCAGCCCTCCATATACTTGGTTCCTCTGTATCCATAGCTCCACATCCACAGATTCAGTCAACTGTAGACTGAGTAGTACTGCAGTATTTACTACTGAAAAAAGATCCATGTTTAAGCAGACCCATTGGAAGGACTGATCGATATTTGGCCACCTGATGCAAAGAGCTGACTCATTAGAAAAGACCCTGATGCTGGGAAAGACTGAAGGCAAGAGGAGAAGGGGACAGCAGAGGAAGAGATGATTGGATGGCATCACTGACTGGATGGACATGAGTTTGAGCTGGTGAAGGACAGGAAGGCTGGCAATGAGTCGGACAGGACTGAAAACTGAACTGATGCAGTTTAAACCTGCGATGTTCAAGGGTGGACTGTAGTCACATCAGAGAAATTCTGCAAGTCCAACTGTTGTCTAGGTGGGGAGATGGATTCCTGGTGCTTCCTACTCCAGCTTCTCTCTAGCTCTATCATGGATTAATCTCAAATGTGAATCTAGCCTTGCATTGCTTAAATAAACCCAACTTGGCTGTTATATTTTATCTTATAAAAACTGCTGGATTCAATTTGCTCATATTTTGGTAAGGATTTCTGCATCTATATTCATGGTAAGATTGGTCTGTCAGTTTCATTGCTTGTGAATCTCTGACAGATTTTAGTATTAAATTAGTGCCTATAAAATTAGTTGAAGAATCTTTGTGAGACTAGTATTGCTTCCTAGTTTTCGGTAGAATTCAGTAAGTTCTCTTGGCTCAGTTTTTATTTGTAGGAAGGCTTTCCATAATAGAGTTAAGTTCTTTAGTAATACAGGCCTAGATTTTCTTTTTTCCTTTGCTATTTCTTCAGATCTTTTAAAGTTTAATTCTCAAACACAGAAGACAAATACCATAAATGTATATCCTGATGAGTATTCAGCAACTTATGCTTTTCTGTATATCCAGTACCTGGACTGAGATAGAGAACATTACCTCGGCACCTAGGAATCTGAGTATCTTCACACCAGTCATTAACCAACCCTCAAAGAATAACCTCTATTTGATTTTTATAATGATTAAATTTGGGACCATGGAATATACATATACCTTTAGGTCTGGATTTTTGTTTCACTCAAACTATATTTATGAGATTCTTCTATACTTTTGTCTGTGGTTGGAGAAGTGTGGTTTTACGGTCACACACTTGTGTGTGTGGTTGTGTGTTCATTCCCATTAATGTAGAATATTTCATTGTGTGAATATGTTATAATTCACGTATGTATGATGGGCATTTGGTTAATTTCAAGTTTCTGGTTATTTAGTATAGTATTTCTGTCTAATCTAGTACTTGTCTTTGTAAACACAGGTAAACATTTCTGTTGGGTGTGTATCTAGAAATGAGACTTCCGGGTCCTAAGTAATGTATATGTTCAGCTTTAGGAGATACTGTAAACAGTTTACCAATGTGGATATACTAATTTACACTTGTACTGTGCTACTCAAGGTGCAAAGGTATAAATGTATCTTACTAATGGAGTAAACCTTTAACTTTTATGAATGTCCCTCTTTATCTCTAGTAATACTTCTTACTTGAAGTATACTTTGAAAGTAGCATAAACAAGCTGAGTTTTCCATGGTATATCCTTTTTTCCCCTTTTCTTTCAGCCTTTTCACAGACTAATAATTAAGTCTGCCATATGACTGATGGGTTTTCCCAAATACACTTTCCCAAAATATGACAGTTTGGTATAATGAACATTTTAAGTTGAAGGACTGTGTAAAATGACAGGTGCAGGAGGGACTCTCTGACTTTTCTCTGAAGCAGATCAAGAAGACCCTCATGTGAGAGGTGACCTCCCTATATCTAAAGAAAAGCAGCATCCTTATCCCTGAAGACAGAGGGGAGCTGAGAGGAATTTGAATGAACAAGCCTTACTAAGTTTCCACCAGGTTACTACTCTTAAGTCATATCCTTTGGTCCTATCACATTTCCCCATCATTCTCCACTCTTCATCTAACCTAGTATAAAAATGTTCAGGTTTAACCATTTCTTTGGGTTTTCATTTCCTTATGAAGCGTCCTATGTGACCGTAAAATGTATATTTGCATGCTTTTCTCCTGTTAATTTGTCTTCTGTTACAGAGGCCCAGCTGAGAACCTAGAAGAGTAAAAGGTAAAGATATTTTTCCTTTTCTACAAAAGTAACATATAGTTACTTATTTTTCATTCTTCTATTCTGACAATTTTTGTCTTTTAATTGGACCATTTAGGCAAGCATTTAATTAATTAAACATTTGGGTTAATTTATACTATCTTACTATCTGTATCCTTTTGCCCCACCTATATCATGTTTCTATTTGCTCATTCCTCTCTTTTAGTATTTATTTAAATTATATTTTTTGTCCTCTACTAGGTAAAGTTATATATTATTCGATTCTCTTAATCAGAGCTACACCACCTAATTAAGTAGGTACTAGATCCATGTGATTATTTAAACTAAAAAATTCCAATGTTATTTAATGCATAGTATATTAATGTTGATTATGATAGTATCAAGAGTGCTTATTTAATCCTCACAACAACCCTCTAAGGTGGATATACTATTATTATCTGCATTTTACAGACAAAGGAATTGAGATGCAAGAAGGGTAAGTAAATTATCCAATCTAATAAGTAACAGAGACTGGATTTGTACTTAGAGGCTGTGCCTTAGGAATTTACACTTACATGATATTTTCCATGGATTTGGGTTTAATAAAAATGGAGATCGGGTAAAGTTGTGCAATCTGTAATCTCTTTATGGCATTTCCAGACACATCAAGGATACAGTGTTTGCCCTAAAATAGAGGGGATAGAGAAGAAAAATAAGTGAATGAAGTATTTTCAATTATATCACAAGTATATTTCCGAGAAGTACAAAATCTTAATTATGATATGTTTGGATTCTGTTCACTTTGAGCAAGTCTGTCATTTCTATTATGAAGACAATGTATAATGACTATAGATTAATTAATTTTCCATTCTCAAATATTACATTTAAAAAGGAATAAAAATGCGATTTCCACAGACTAGTAATCTCTCAAAATGGCAACCAATATGGGGTTCCTGTCTCTTATTTTGCTGAGAAAGGGTACTAAAATATATCCTAAGGTTACCATCTTGCCACAATCATCATTTTATAAAAGAATATATGTCCTATAGATATCAATTAGGTCTAGCTGGTCCATTGTGTCATTTAAAGTTTGTGTTTCCTTGTTAATTTTCTGTTTAGTTCATCTATCCATAGTTGTGAGTGGAAGGTTCATAGCATTACAGGCTTACCTCAAGAAACAAGAAAAAAGTCAAATAAATAACCTAACTCTACACCTAAAGCAACTAGAGAAGGAAGAAATGAAGAACCCCAGGGTTAATAGAAGGAAAGAAATCTTAAAAATTAGGGCAGAAATAAATGCAAAAGAAACTAAAGAGACCATAGCAAAAATCAACAAAGCTAAAAGCTGGTTTTTTTGAAGAAAAAAAAAAAGGAATATATGCTCAAACAAGATCGTAAAAGACTAAGATAAATGAGACTCTTTAAAACTGCATATATAAACAGAAAAAGAGACACAGATGTACAGAACAGACTTTGGGACTCAGTGCGAGAAGGCGAGGGTGGGATGTTCTGAGAGAATAGCATTGAAACAAGTATACTATCAAGGGTGAAACAGACCACCAGCCCAGGCTGCATGCATGAGACAAGTTCTCAGGGCTGGTGCACTGGGAAGACCCAGAGGGATGGGATGGGGAGGGAGGTGGGAGGGGGAATTGGGATGGGAAACACATGTACATCCATGGCTGATTCATGTCAATGTATGGCAAAAACCACTACAATATTGTAAAGTAATTAGCCTCCAACTAATAAAAATAAATGAAAAAAAATGCATATATATTACCACTATCCTACCCTATTCTTCATCTTACTGGGGAGCAGTGAAAACTTTATTACAAACTAGAACATTTGAAAACCCCAGTTGTGAATTTAAGAAACTATCTTGACTTACTTAAATTCACTGCCAAAGGCCATTAAGGTTTTTAGTAAAGAGGAGCATTTCCATGTTAAATAGGGTAGTACTTCTAATTTATCAAACAGATTTTATTATAACATTTCCCTGGTGGCTCAGCTAGCAATGAGGGAGACCTGAGTTCGATCCCTGGATTGGGAAGATCCCCAGAAGATGAAATGGCAACCCATTCCAGTATTTTTGCCTGGAGAATCCCTGTGGACAGAGGAGCCTAGTGGGCTATAGTCCATGGGGTCACAAAGAGTTGAACATGACTGAAGTGACTTAGCACTAAACTAAGGTACTCCCCCATAATGCATCTTGTAATCTAAGGGCTTGAATCCAGTTCAATGAATGGTAATTTCAATTTAGTAGGAATATTTACAATAAAAAAAATTAATATTGTATGAATACTTCAAACACACAGAAAAGTAAATAACAGACATACATGTACCCACCACCCACTTTTATTAAATATTACTGTTTTACCTGATTGCTTAGAAATTAAAAAGTTTACACTGAAACTTTAATATATCTTATTTGCTTTATTTTATCCATCTCTATATATATACACAAATTGTAGACATAATAACTTCTTTACTCCTTACTTCCTGAACTGAATGACATCTCTTACATAACCACAATACAATTTCAGTTGGTCATCTAGTATCGTTTACTGCAAAAGGAAAAAAAAATTCTTGCTCTAGGGCCAGTCTAGGACCACACATTGCATTTAGTTGTAATGTGTCTTTAGTCTCTGTCAAGCTGGTACAATTCTTTAGTCTCTTTCATGATCTTGATATTTCTGATAGTACTGAATATTTTTTTCAGAGAATATGACTCAACCTGGGCTTGCCTAATGTTTCTCATCAGATGGCAGGTAAACATTTTTGGCAGCAATAGCACAGAAATGATGTTGCATCTTTCTCAGTCCATCATATCAGGAAGCATATGTCTACTAGTGATTTTAATATTTTTTTTTTAGTGATGTTAATTTAAAAAATTTTTTAAATTTATTTCTGGTCATTCGGGTCTCTGTTGCTGTGTGCAGGGTTTTTTTCTCTAGTTGTGGCGAATAGGGCTACTCTTTGTAATGGTGCTTGGGCTTCTCACTGCAGTGGCTCTTCTTGTAGAGCACAGGGTCTAGAGTGTGGGTTCAGTAGTTGTGGCATACAGGCTTCGTTTGTTCCATGGCCTGTGGGATCTTCCCAATCCAAGGATCGAATACATGTCTCTTGCATTGGTAGACGGATTCCTAACCACAAGACCACCAGGGAAATCCTGATGTTAATTCTGATAGTTTTTTTAAAGGTTTTGTCTGCCATATTTCACCACTGTAAGCCTAATACTTCCCTTTTATAACTGCCAAGTATTTTGGGGAAGGATATGTTGAAACTATGTAAATATTCTGTTTCTCATCAGACAGTAATTAACTCACTCAGTAATTTTAGTACACACTGGTGACTCCTGCCTTAAACAATCATTATGGCAGTTGTCAAGAGCCCTAACTCCATTACTCTTTCTAACTTTATTAGTAGACATTATTAATGTAAGGTGAAGCTTCCCTTCCATCCACTTATTTATTCATGTATTTACTTATACCATTGTGAACTCTTAGATTCTTATTCTCTGTGTTACAATAAGCTATTATCATTTTAATATTCTAATTTTTCCAAACTTGGCCACTGGGGGACTTTACAGGTTGACTTCAGTGTCTTTATGGAATACTTGTATCATTCTTTAAGCACTTCCTTAGTTTTCTGGCATAGCAAAATGTTCTAGGCTCATCTTGTACTTTCCCAATGGAATCAACCATAATTCTAATGAGTTCTGGATTTTTTTAATGGAGGATAGTATTTAGAAAACAAGATCTAAGCAGTAGGTATTACTCAGAATCATCATTTTTAGGCCTTCTTTGTGTACAGAGCAAGAAAATATATACACACATTTGTATTTTCTATATCTACTATATTAAGATGTATGGATTTACATTCATATCTCTAATTCCAATCCAATTATCACAGTTTATTCTATCCTTACCTTATTTCTAAAATCCCTGCATTGACAGTGAGAAATCTAGCTCCCATGAACTGTAAATGTATTATTTGCTCAACTCTAAAACATATATTAGTTTCAGACCTACTAACCCATACCACTCTGAAAAACAAACCTACTAATTAGAGTTCAGTATCTATTCACAGGTTTTCCGTCTTTAGCCTACCTTCAAGGATTAGTGGGATTAAGACGTTTCCCCTTACCTTCCCCTCTTAATGAAGTTATTTGAAAATTAATTTTAAAATAACTATTTGAAATACAGTTAGATTAGATTTAGTTTGTTCATATATCATTCTGCTTCCTCTTATCTTCTGTTTTTATTTTTTGAATGTACAAAATGTTAACATAGTGCTGAAATCAAAATTATACAAAAAGGTATACTTGGAGAATTGCTACACCTCCACCCATTCTTCCTCAATCCCTATCTCTCATCCTTTCCAATCCTCCCTCTGTAGGTAACTCATCTCAGGCTTGATTTATCATTAAAAAAATTTTTTTTAAATCTTACTTCTGTGTGAATTATTTATATCTTTTGTCTATTTTCTGTTACATTTTGGTCTCTAGTCCCTCAATTTTTAAGTGTGTTTAATATTAATATTGGGAATATCACCCCTTGGATTGTAGGCTTTTTATCAGTTGTTTTGTGACATTGGTAATGGTGTTTTATATTAGTTTTTGGAAAAATTTCTTTGCAAGCCAAAGTCTTTTTATTTTCATATGGTCAGAATTTATCAGTCTTTTATTGCATCTGAATTTTGATTTATGGCTAAAAAATCTTTCCTATGCCCAGGTTATATTTTCTTCTTTCTAGTATTGTTGCTTTGTCTCTAAGTCGTGTCTGACTGTCTTGCGATCCCATGGACTGCAGTCTGCCAGGCTCCTCTGTCCATGGGATTTCCCAGGCAAGAACAATGGAGTGGCCTGCCATTTTCTTCTCTAGGGGATTTTCCCAACCCAGGGATTGAACCCATGTCTCCTACATGGCAGGTGGGTTGTTTACCACTGAGCAACCAGGGAAGCCTGTCAACTTTATTAGAGCCAATTTTTGCATATGCTGTGAAGTATGGTTCTAATTTATCTTTTCTTCAGTTGTTCTAACTCTATTTATTAAAAAGTCCATTATTAAAACCACCAGTGACTTGAGATTGCACCTTTATCATATACTGTATTTTCATACATATTTGGGTCTTTCCTATATTTTCTTTCCTTTGGATTTACTCATCTCTTTGTCCTATTCATGGGTCATGCTGCTGCTCCTAAGTCACTTCAGTCGTGAGCACACTGTTTTAGTTAAGAAGACTTTATAGTAACCTTTAATATCTGATAGGGCTAGAATCTCCTGTAGCTTTTCTTTTTGTGTTGTCCTGGCTTCTCATATGAACTTTAATTCAATTTCTTTAACTTCATAAAAAGGCTGGCAGTCAGTTTTATTGGGATTGTGTTCATATATAAATTAGCTTAGAACTGGCAGCTTTATAATGTTGAATTGTCATAGCTAAGAACAAGGGATGTCTTTCCATTTGTTCAAGTCGTATACTCTTCTAGGAGTGTTTTACAGATTTCCTCATATAAGTCAGAATATTTTTCATTAAGTTCACTAAGTATTTTACATTCTATTTCCTATATGGTTTTCTCTATCATCTTCTGATTACTATTAATGTAAAACATATTAATCTCTGCAAATTAATTTTATAAGCTACCTTACTCTTGATTTTTTATGTCTTTGATTTTATATCTTTGAATTCATATTTTATCAAATGAATTTTGTAATAGATTTTTTATGGTGTATTCTTGCCTAGAGAATCCCATGGACAGAGGAGCCTGGTGCGCTGCTGTCCATGGGGTTGCACAGAGTCGGACATGACTGAAGCAACTTAGCATGCATGCATGCATGCATTGGAGAAGGAAATGGTAACCCACTCTAGTGTTTTTGCCTGGAGAATCCCAGGGATGGAGGAGCCTGGTGGGCTGCCATCTATAGGGTCGCACAGAGTTGGACATGACTGAAGCGACTTAGCAGCAGGAGCAGGAATACTATAATATCTGAAAACAGAGAGTTTTCTTTCCAATTATTATGCCTCTGATTGATCTGTACTGTGTAATAGAACTGACAATACCTTGAGTAGTAGTGGAGATGGACGTCCTTGCCTTCCTCCTCATCATAATGGCACTGTCTCATTGTTTTTCCCATTACGGATTTAAAATGAAGATTATCAATCCATCTATCTCAATCTTTTTCCTTTTTCTCTTTAAAAAATAATAATCTCTATGTTTTTGAGATTCTTCCTCCAGGCAGAGGTACTGAATTTTACCAAATGCTTTTCAGGCATCTATGAATATATTTTTTTCTCTTTAGATCTGTTAATGTGATAGATTACATTAATGGATTACCTAATAGTGAGCTGACTTTAAATAGCTTTAATTCCACTTGGTCAGGGTATATTATTTTTGCAATGTGGTACTGGATTCTACTTATTAAAATATTTAATACTTCTGTATTAATATTTATCAGTAACATTGGTCTGTAATTTTCACTGTCTTCATCAAGTTTAAATATCAATATTAGATTTGTTTTATAAAAAGAATGCTCTTGAATGGTATTTACAGAGCTTTAGGATGATCTAACCTTTTAAGATTTGTTAAAATTCCCCCATGAAGTTGTCTGGACCTGATGCTTTTTGTGGGATAGTTCCTTGATAACTTGGCTCTATTTCTTCTAAAGACTTTTTCTTCTGTAACTCTTTTCATCCCTAATAGGTCAATTTTGGTTAACTGTATTTTTCCAGGAAATTATCCATCTCAACCAAGTTTTGAATTTTATTTATATAAAGATATTCAGTGTATGATTTCATACTATTTCAGGTGGCTCAGTGGTAAAGAATCTACCTGCCAATGCAGGAGATGCAAGAGACATGGATTTGATCCCTGGGTTGGGGACATCTCCTGAAGTAGGAAATGGCAACCTGCTCCAGTATTCTTGCTTAGAAAATTCCACAGATAGAGGAACCTGGTGGGCTATAGTCCATGGGTTCGCAAATAGTTGGATGTGACTGAGCATGCACACACGCAAGCTATGGAATAGGAAAACAACCAGAGACAATGTAGTCACATTTAAGAGGTACTTTTATTTTAGCCAAATTAAGGGTATTAAGGAGCATACTGGGCTACCCAGCTGGTGCAGTAGTAAATAATCTGCCTGTCAATACAGGAGATGCAAAATATGTGGGTTTGATCCCTGGGTTGGGAAGATCCCCCTGGAGTAGGAAAGGGCAACCCACAATACTGCATAAGTACAATATTATAGAAGTTTCTGGTATAAAACATAGTATAAGTACAATATTATAGAAGTTTCTGGTATAAAACATAGTGATTCATACATTTTAAAGGTTATATTCTATTTATAGTTATTATATTCCTTGTGCCGTACTGTATCTCCTCATAGTTTATTTTATACCTATGCCTGTTTTTAAGTTAATGAAAACATAAAATACATTTATAAAAACACAAAATATGTATCAATAAACTATGTAGGCTGTTTTATGTTAATTAAAGTTTATATAAATAGTGTCTTCCTGTATATATCTTTTACAACTTCATTGACTTACAACTTTGAGATTTATTAATGTGGCTACACACAGTTAGTGGATATTCTAGTTTATTCACTTTAGCTGCTGTATCCTACTGCATGAATAAAGAATTATTCATTCTCCTTTGCTGAGTCTAATTTTTCACTGCTGTAAAGTTCTACTATGCATATCATTACACATACTTAGATATCAAAACCTCTACTTAGATATCAAAAAGTAGAATTTCTGAGTCACAGGTTTTATGCATTTATTTGGTATTGCCAAATTATTCTTAAATGAAGTTCTATTAATTTTACCCCCATTAACAATATCTAATAGGATTTTCTATTTTCCCAAATTCCTGCCATCACCGAACATGTCCATTTTATGATTTTTAAAACTAATTAGAATTAGCTCTAATTATTAGTTCAAATTAATTAGTTCTAATTAAGAATTAATCAAACCTCTTATTAGAAAAAGGAGCACTAAGAGATGGAAAACTGAGATGCTGAATTACTGCTGTATTTTTTGTAGATATCTCATGACTAAATCTTAAACTACTATATAGTTTTGAAGGTATAAAATAATTTGTTGATGTTTATTCTCTAGGCCCCAAAACTATTTAAGTCAAGCAGCACACCTGGAACACACTGTTTTGACTTTACCATAAGGCTGCTTTAACCCAAGGTCAATATATCATCAGACTGCTTTCAAAAAATCTGTTGCTGTTACAGTGTTATTGAGAATTTTCCACACTGTCTTTTATTAAATGACCATTCAGGGGAAATTTTTGTCTAGTCTCAGTACCAGGAGCAACTCACACTTATTTTGAACATCTGGTTCATTTTTATTGATGGACATGCTGATCTTAGCTTCTTAATTATGCTAGATGTTGGAAAGCCAGTGCTAAACAAAAGGTCAATCTCTAGCAAATGCACAGGACCTCAAAATAATCACCCCCCCCCCCCCTTTGAGAGGGGGCTTCCTAAGTGGCTCAGTGGTAAAGAATCCACCTGTGAATGCAGGAGTTTCAGGAGACGCAAGTTTGATCCCTGGGTCAGAAAGATCCCTTGGAGGAAGAAACGGGCACCCACTCCAGTGTTCTTGCCTAGAAAAATTCCACGGACAGAGGAACCAGGTGGGCTGCAGTCCACAGGGTCGCAAAGAGTCAGACATGACTGAGCACACATGACACAGGCCTCTTAAGAGAGACTTATGTTATCATTTCTATTCTTATTTTCCTTGTTGATCTTTTTTTTTTTGCATGTCAGGGCCTGGATTTCACCTCCCCACATGGAGGAGTGGGCAGTGAGCTAAGGCCACTGGTGGCTCTGGGTGCCAAATCTCACCTGTGGCCATGGCCAAAGTCAAGTGATTTACAACCAATGTTGACTGTTGATCTTTTTAATCTACTTTATCTTATATATTTTTCTAAAATTAACCTAGAAGTTAATATTTAGTTGAATAAATTTATAACATTGCTTAAACTAATCAATGCTGCAACATGCACGTACATTTTTTTTTTTCAAAAACATGAATTAAAGTTTCTATCTCATCATTCTTTCATACTGCCAAAGGTGTATCTGATTAGAAACTTCATTTTGAGATCACTTTGTTACTTACCTTTTCTGCTACTTCTCGCACAGACTGAACACTTGTTCCATACAGATGGTTATTATACTGGCCGGCTTCAATGAATTTATGTTCCTGGATATCTTTTTCCATTTGCTCTCTTGAAGTCACAAAATGATAATCTCTTCCATCTACCTCATAATCTCGTTTTGGTCTAGTTGTATCTTTAATAGAAAAGAACTTGAAGTGTTTAATATCAAAAGGCACAAGAAATCCATTTGCTACTTGAAGAAATGTTTTGTAAAGTTCAATATAACAAGAGATTGAAAGTGACAATAATATGAAGGATGGAGGAATAACTAATAAATATAAACCACTAAAAAATGGTAATGTGTTACCACATCACTCTACTTAGCCCCCAAATTGTATACAATTATTTTATATTGTTAGATTAATTATGCTTCCATTATGGATTTTGATTATAATTATCTTTTATTTTTTGTCTGATTATTGACTGTTAAGATTGATAAACACCTTTTACTATTGTGATTATGTAACTATTATTCACTTAATACCACTGTATTATGACTGGTCAACAGAAAATAACAGAATTCCATATCACTAAAACTACCATTTAACAGAAAACCATGTAATTACTTTTTAAAATCCAGATGGATATTGGAATTTTCTGAAAAATACAAATGCTCAGGTATTGATTTTTTCCTACAAGGCTCCAGATGTGCTTTTAACAAGCATCCATGTTTAAAGACAACTGGACTACACGATGATTTTTTACTTTTATCTAGTTTGTTCACTTTTTCTATTTCATATTCAGTACTCCCATTTCATTTAGTTTGTTTTCCAATTTTTCCATGTTTTTTCCTGTTGTTCTTCTTTCTTAAGACTTTATCTAGTAGAAAAGCTTTTGTACACACACACACACACACACACACACATATAAATAATATGGTACATATATTAGAAAACTTATGAATTTTTGCCTAGCTAAAAAATTTATGACATTTTAATTCCACTTGTGTGACTTAGTATGATTAAGAATGCTAGGTTTCTAATTTATATGATCTCAAAATCTGACATAATTCCATGTATTTTGGTATCTAATATTACTGCTAAAAGACTAAAAGTTTATTATCTTGGTGATTTAAAAAAAAATTTTGAATGAGACTTGAAGCTTCTAATCCAATTCTGAGAAGAAGAAGAAATACTACATTGTAAAAACACACACACACACACAAACCCCAGGAAATAAACAGTATACAGTGACACAGTATTATTAACTAAAGTGCAGATTTTGTTCATAATTTCACAAGATTTTATGCTAGTGTCCATTAAATAATGGATCTTATTCAAAGTTCCACATTTTATTTAGTTGCATTGAGCAGCTTCAGCTGCATGCAACAAATTCTGGTAACATTTTTATGCTGTTACAAATATTTTCTAACTTTTCTTGTTATGGCTTCTTAGATACACCCATCATTTAAAAGTGGACAACTTCCAAATACATCAAAATTTTAAAGTATCTTTAAAAAAAATTTATTGGAGTATATAGTTCCTATTTAAAATTTTGTGTTAGTTTCTGCTGTATAGAAAGGTGACTCGGTTATATATATATCCACTCTGTAGATTCTTTACCCATGTAGGTCATTATACAGTACTGCATAGAATTCCTTGTGCTACACAGTAGGTCCTTATTAGTTATCTATTTTTTTTATATAGTAGTATATATCTGTTGTAATTGGTATTTTGTTCTGTAATTGGTATTTCTCAGCCACTTGCCTACCATTTACTCCTATGGTCCTATGATGTATCTTCTAAAAATTAATAATGAGCAATATTTTGAGGCAAGGTTTCACACTTAACTGTAACGTAACAGTTTATGCCAGCATATGCTCTAGATCTGGAAGATGGTGATACATTTGATAGGAGACAGTATTCAGATTGGGCTTCCCTGGTGGCTCAATGGTAAAGAACCTGCGTGAAAGGCAGGAGACCCAGGTTTGGTCCCTGGGTGAAGATCCCCTGGAGAAAGGCATGGCAACCCACGCCAGTATTCTTGCCTAGAGAATCCTATGGACAGAGAGCCTGGCAGGCTGCAGTACATAGTGTCGCACAAAGCTGCACACGACTGAAGTGACTAGGCAAGTAGCATGTATCTGCTAATCCTAAACTCCTAATTAATCCTTCCCTATCTCTTTTCCCTTTGGTAACTATAGATTTGTTTTCTATGTCTGTGAGCCTGCTTCCATTCTGTAAACAGATTCATTTGTATCTTTTTTTTTTATGTTCTACATATAAGCAGTATCATACATTGGTTTTTCTTTGTATGCCTTAAAACTCAGTATGACAATCTCTAGGTCTATTCATGTCACTGCTAATGGCATTATTTCACTCTTTTTATGGCAGGGTAATACTCCACTGTATATATGTACCACATCTTAGAAGAGTGATTTTTTCCTATTAAATGATAGTCTTAGTGATACAGAATTCTATTATTTTCTGTCGACCAATCATGATACAATGGTATTAATAGTTACATAATCACGATAGTAAAAGATGTTTATCAGTTTTCAAAATCGATAACCAGACAATAAAAAAAGATAATTACAATTGCAAGCCATAATGGAAACCTGTTTAACCTAACAATATAAAATAATTACATACAATTTGGGGGGTTAAGTAGAGTGATGTGGTTAGTCAAAGTGCATACATGCACATGTTCTCACCTGCCCAGCCAGTCTAGGTCTTTTGGTTGGTTCATTTTATCCATTTAGAGTTAAGGTAATTGTCCATATGTATGATTCTATTACCATTTTCTTAATTGTTCTGGATTTATTTTTTGTAGGTCTTGTCCTTGTCTTGGGTTTCCTGCCTAGAGAAGTTCCTTTAGTATTTGTCGTAAAGCTGGACTTGGTGCTGAATTTTCTTAACTTTTGCTTGCCTGGAAAGCTTTTGATTTCTCTGTTAAATCTGAATGAGAGTCTTGCTGGGTAGAGTATTCTTGGTTGTAGGTTCTTCCCTTTCATCACTTTAAATATACTGTGCCATTTTCTTCTCGCATGGAGAGTTTCTGTTGAGATACCAGCTGATAACCTTATGGGAATTTCCTTGTATGTTATTTGTCATTTTTCCCTTTTTGCTTTTAATATTTTGTCTTTAATTTCTGTCAGTTTGACTACTATGTGTCTTGGTGTATTCCTCCTTGAGTTTATCCTGCCTGGGACTCTCTATGCTTCTTGGACTTGGCTATTTCCTTTCTCACTTTAGGCAAGTTTTTGGCTCTTCTCTCTTCAAATATTTTCTCAGGTCCTCTCTCTCTCTCTCCTCCTTCTGGGACCCTTACAATGTGAATGCTGGTGGGTTTAATGCTATCCCAGAGGTCTCTCAGGCTTTTTTTTTTTCCTCTATATTCTGTTCTGCAGCAGTGATTTTCACCATTCGCTCCTCTAGGTCATTTATCTGTTCTGCATCAGTTATTCTGCTATTGATTTCTTCCAGTGCATTGTTCATCTTTGTTTGTTCTTTCTAGGTCTTTGGTAAACATTTCTTGCATTTTCTCAATCTTTGCCTCCATTCTTTTCCTGAGATCCTAGATCATCTCCACTATCATTATTCTGAATTCTTTTTCTGGAAGGTTGCCTATCCACCACTTCATTTGGTTGTTTTTCTGGGGTTTTACTTTGTCCCTTCATCTGGGACAAAACCCTTTGCCTTTTCATCCTGGTTAACTTTCTGTGATGTGGTTTTGTTTCTAGCTGCTGTGGGATTGTAGTTCTTCTTGCTTCTTCTGTCTGCTCTCTGGTGAATGAGGCTAAGAGGCTTGTATAGGCTTCCTGATGGAAGGGACTGGTGGTGGGAAAAACTGAGTCTTGCTCTGGTGGGCAGGGCTGTGCTCAGTAAAACTTCAATCCAATTATCTACTGATGGGTGGGGCTGTGCTCCCTCCCTATTAGTTGTTTGACTTAAGCCCTGGGGTTCATAGGCTCTATGGGTTAATGGCAACTTTCCAAGAGGACTTACACCAAAGGGCCCCTCTAGGACTGCTGCTGCCAGTGCCTCTGTCCCTGCGGCAAGCCATTGCTGACCCACACCTCCACAGGAGACCCTCCAACACTAGCAGGTAGGCTTCCCCTGGGTCTTGGCGTGTACAAGATTTTGTTTGCAGTCTCTGAGTGCAGTCTCTGTTTCCCCTAGTCCTGTAATCAAATCCCACTGGCCTTCAAAGTCAGACTGCTTGGGGATTCCCAGTCCCTCTGCTGGATCTGCAGCCTGCAAAGCCTGACAGGAGGCTCAGAACCTTCACAATGGTAGGAGAACTTCTTTGGTACTATTGTTCCCTAGATTGTGGGTCGGCCACCTAGCAGGTATGGGATTTGATTTTATTGTGTTTGCACCTCTCCTACCATCTTGTTGTAGCTTCTTTTTTGTCTTTGGACATGTAATATCTTTTTTTGGTGGGTTCCAGTGTCCTTCAGTCAATGGTTGTTCAACAGCTAGATGTAATTTTGGTGCTTTTGCAGGAGGAGATGAGCACATGTACTTCTGCTTAACTATCTTTGATATTAATTTCTCACTTAAATGTTTTCTTCTCTACAATCACCCTCTGTGTTTTTCCAGTCTTCTAACATTATTGAGGCTTTTAATGGCTAGGTGAAAGGTATCTATTGGTAAATGTCACATTACACTTGAAAATATGTGGTTTATTTTCAAATATCTTTTGATATTGATTTTTAACATAATTCCACAGTGGTAAGAGAACATATTCTGTATGATTTCAGTTTCATTAGACCACAAATTTTTTCTGCACCTGTTTTATGTCCCTGGATATGTTCCAGTGTCTTCTAGTTTATAGTCTATGGGAACTTGAATAGAATTTGTTTCCCACTATAGTGTGAAAACTGTATAAATCTTAGTAATGTTGAATTGGTTATAGTGCTTTCGAGGTCTACTACATCCTTCTACTTTTCTGTATATTTATTGCATTTATTTTTGAGAGTTTGATATTGAAACTCCAACTAAAAATCTTAATTTATCTAGTAAAAAAATAATTGTAATATAATAGTGAAACTATATATAACTTTGTTCTGTATTTACCAAGTCTCCTATAAATGCATTTCATACTTTAAAAAATAAAAAAGAGAAAAAAAAAGGTAATGCTTACTCTGACCACAGAGTGACAAAATGTTAAGAACACTAATTAAGAATTTTTATGTGAGTTACTCACGAGGAACACACGATCCAAATTTGTCAGGAAATTCTGAGATCAGGTCATCATTTATCCTGTCTTTCATAGGTCCCAATATGATCACTGGTCGAGTATAATTAACTACAAAAATAAACTGCATGTTAAAAGGAATAAACACTCAACAAACATCTATGTATTTTATTTTACTAGAAAACAAAAGTATCTTTAACTTATGAAGAATTTCCTTTTTTTTCTTTCTCTACCAATGATGCTCAACTTGATAAGTTTCCAAACATTTATTAAAATCTTAAACTTCAATCTGTTTGAAGTCATAGTTAGTAAGTGTTACTGTCACTCAGCTCTGTGTGACTCTTTGTGACCACATGGACTGTAGCTTGCAGGCTCCTCTGTCCACGGAATTCTCCAGGTAAGAATACTGGAGTGGGTAGCTGTTCCCTTCTCCAAGGGATCTTCCTGACCCTGGGATTGAACCTGAATCTCCTGCACTGCAGACAGATTCTTTACCATCTGAGCCACTAGGGAAGCCCTGTTTGAAGTCATACACTTAGATAAATTTAACCAAGTTAAACCCAGCATTTTAGCATATAATGTTTCTATACATTGCTAACATCATCTCATTACAAATGAGAAAACACAGTACAGTGTTTTACTGATCCTTTCTGAAGCAATAATTGCAAGGAAGAAGATCAAAGGGCAAAAAAGAAACGTGGTATAATCAGAGTAGTCATCTGGAATGATGATCCAATAGAAGTGTAAACACTGGATTGTAAGGGATCATGTTCGAAGTAGGGAGACTGGCAGTGAAAATCAGACTTAACATTTGGTAGGAGGGATGAAAAGAGGTTATAAATAAGAAAGACATGATAAGAATAAATAGGGCCTAGAAACTGACTGGACAAGGGAGATGAAGAGCAGAGAAAGATCAAAGATGATTCCAAGATTTTGAACAAGGGTTATTAGAAGGATAGTGATACTGTTATGAACACTGGAAAGAAGCTGCTTAAGAAATAAAACACCAATATAAAATGACTAGATTTTAATAATCTATGGGTTAAATCATGTTTCATAAAATATACACAGTAAAATTCTATATATAGACACATATAGTAAGAAAAAACACTACAATTCTAACAAAATGTTTTTTTAAGGTGTATCTTAAAAATGTTTTTTTAAGATATGAGTTGAGTTAGACTGATTTTCCAAATTATGTTTTTCTATAAGACTGTAAAATATAAACAGACTTCACAAACCTTCTTGTTGATTCACTGGTTCATAAGATAAGACATATTCTTCTTGACCACCTATTAGAAAGTTAAAATACAGGTAAGAAAATCTATAAAGATAACTATACTAACTTAATTCTTTAATAGAACATATAAAATACTAGAATTTTCCTGAGAAAATCAGTGAAGACAAAAAAAACGTACTTTATAAATTAATTATGGCAAGATTTAGGGAAAAAATGAAAAATTAGAGTCACAAAGACTGGTATATATAAAAACAAACTATAAATGTGCTATTAATAACTAACTTTCTGTTATTGTGTGTTTTATAGATTAAATCTTCACTTGGGATGTCAAGCATAAGCTATTAATTTTTTACTGAGAATCTGAACTCTTAAATATTTTAAAGTTAATACTTTAACAAGCAGTCCTACATTTATGCATATTAGATAAGTTAGTGTTATTAATATGCTGTATTTTTGGTCTTACCAGGTATAACATTTAATGTTGCATATACATTTTATAATTACAACTATTTTCTAGCCAAAAAATTTTAATGCAAAGGTAAAATTAGTGTTACTATTTCATTGATGAAAAAAATTCATTGATTACTATAATTCATTTGTTCAATTTTTTAAAAAATAACATTTTGAGTTAAAAAAAGTTTTAGATAAAATTAAATTCTTCTTTTTCAACAAAATGCATCACATAGATAGTAAAGGAGAAATAATATATCTTTCTTTGATCTTAAAAGCACTTTTCACAAGTTAAATTCTCTAAGTTAAAGGATTAGAGCATATGAATATCCTACACAGAAAAGTCTACACATTATACCTCTGCTCAACGAAAATAAAAAGTTGAAAACTTCAGTTTTCAATACACAAACACACATACACACACATGTAGAAAACAAATCAGGAAGAATTGTTAGATTCAAGTGGTTCAATGAAATCAACCAGTATTTGGAGAATGTATTTAAAGATATTTTCCTTGATGATTATGACTCTATAACAATCTTTACACTAAATCTGTTTATATTACATGTATGCAGCTATAAATCTTTTAAATTCTTATACTGATATAAATATTCTTTCCTGCTTTAAAAGTATATTTTGTTGTTTTAAAATTTATTATATCAGAGATATATATATATGTGTATATATATACAAGTTGCTTTTAAAAGTACTGTATGTAAAACATGTTTTACATGTTATCAGAAACATGCAATTTGAATTTTCCACACCTAATAATACATGCAAATGGTGAGACAGACAGTATATACTTTCATTACCTCTTTTTAGTCTAGAAAGCTTCACAACTACTCTCTGGTGAGTTCAAATTGATATAAGTTAATAAAATGCTAAAATGTGAGAAATCACACTAACACACCAAAAAAAAAAAATCATTAAGCAACTGTTATGCATAAAAAATAACAACCAATCAAATGAATGAGGGTTAAAAGTATATATTGTCAACACAAAAAATATTAGACTGATATTAACAGGATGGACCTTTTGAGCAGCCATACTCATCTGTAATCAAGATTACTTTCATATTAGACAGCAGTAAAAAAAAAAAAAAGTCAGAAAAGCAATTTTAATTTTTAAGGTGTTATAACTGACAATATTCATGTACTCTTCCCGCCTCCCAGCCCAAATGTGTTTTAAAATTTCACACGCTTATATACATCACTTAATAGTATAATACCAAGACTATAACAAAAGAACCAAGAATTAAATTAGTATTACTGTTTGAATAACAGTTGAAAATTTTCCCTTTGTCATTTCTTATGTTCATCAAAATCTGGCAATACATAGTATCTTGACACACACCAGTATTGGTGACACAAAATAAAAAAGGAAATAAAGCTAACTATAGTTTAGCATTACTGAAAAATATTCTAATGCCTATGTTAGAAACAGAATTACTAAACTAAAATGCAAAACACAAGCTTATCCCTATTTAGCTAGATATTTACTTCTTATAAAAGATACAAATACACATATACATATTGTGTATATGAACAGCAGTTTTGTTAAAATGAATTTTTTTATTTTATGAAAGCTTTGGAAATTAACTTCTGTACAAACAGCATGACTTTACCTATAAAGTAAAGAATTTTACTTGGCTTTCCCTGACTTTAAAATAGTAAGCACCTAATTTTCACTTTTCAGAATACATCACTAAGGGAAAACCCCCCAAAGGATATATAACTGGAGATAACAAAAGAACAAATAACTTAAAACACTTACGGTAACTACTTTCGCTATCGCTGGCATTAGAAGTTACATGTTCTGAAATTGAAGGACAATGGAAAAAATAAAGAAAACACAGAGTCATGAGTTTAAAAAAAGCAAATTATCAAAATAAACACAAGGTGACAACAAAATGTTGAGATATAAACCACAGATATACAAAGAGTTTTTAAAAACATTTCTGATTTTCTTTGAAAAGTTTATTTCAAATAAATGAATATGAACTAGCAAGGAAAAAAATCTGTAAGCAAGGACAATGCTTCATTTTCTGTTCAACAGTTTATGAACAAAATCTTATTATGAATGGCAAGTAGATCCTAAATTAGTCCAACTGTCAACATAAAATCCCAATGAGAAAATGTCACTGACACCATTTACTTTAGGTCATGATACAGTAATGACTAACAAAGGAGACAAGTTATATCTGAGAAAACAGATGTCCATTATAAGGAAGTGGTATCTTAAAAAATAAATGGAAAAAAAAATGACCCTCCTTTTAGTTTCTTTCTTGTTCCTGAAGAGAAACGAAAATCCACACCTGAGATCGTACAGATAAAGTATCCTGGATACCACAGATTTCCTGATGCTCTAAAAAAGGTCAAATGGAACAGAATTCTAGAAGGTGGGATTGTATTTTAAAGTAGACTAGTATTTCTGAGAAACTGCTTTGGTAAAACTGACAACAGCTGTTTTGTAAAACAAAAAGATGATAAACACACCCATATGCCTGGCCCCTCCCTTCAAAGTGACCCCATTTCATAACTTGATTGTTCAGTAACACCCAGCACTCTTCTCATGTAAATATAATCTCTAGTGTTGTCTTAATAAGTGTTCTCCTTTGAATAAAAAGGAATTTTATCTATAAAAACTAAAATAACAAAAATTCCCATGGAAGAGAAGTAAATCTAAATTTCTTATCGTCAGGTAAAGGAAACAAAAATTAAAGGATAAAGAAAAAGTTTGGGGAGAAATATATGCTGTACCATACCAACTACACAGTCTCCTAAAAACAAGTAGCACTACTGAAAAGTTTAGAGAATGGTAAAACTTAGTGTTAGTATAGTTCTTGAATTGCTGTCACCGTGAAAAATAAGTCTGTTATTCTAACTTGCAAAGATAAGATACAACTTTCTTAATCATTGCTATGTATATTTTAAATAAAGGAGGAACATTAAAAATTATAAGAATAATATATAAACATTTTTAAAATGGTGGTTTTTTAAAGTTTATATTTAAAAATTTCTTCTCATGTTATCACACAAATGTCAAAACAATAATTTTAAACTGTTGTATAATATTCTATTGGACTGTTAAATCATGATTTATCTTACTATTTATTTTGCTTTAAATTGTTTTGCATAGACATCAACAATTCATTATGAATGTGTTCATTTATGTGGTTTTCACCTTTTGTCCTATTTCCTTAAAATTCATTCCCAAGAGTAGGAATGCCACATAGAAGAAATAAAAAGTTCTTAAATTTATACTAGGATTGGAATTACACCCTGAAATTTCTAATATATAAAAGAAAGAAATGTTAGTTATTGCACTTGAGTGAGTGGAAGGGGAGAATAAATCAAAGTACCAGAGAAACAAATTAACCATGAGTTGACAATTAGAGAAGTTGGATAAATGAATGCTTGTGGGGTTTATTATCCCTCTACTATTGAATATATCTGACATGTTATATACATATATACAAAGTTTATATGGGGATTTCTCTTATCTTGCATTCTCTAAAATTACCAATAGTTATAAAGTAATCAAATTCAAGTTCTTTCAAATATGCTTTAAATAACTCCTCTACAGTAAAATCTTGCTACTTAAAGCATTGCCCTTGGAATAGCATCATCACCATTGGTTGGGAGCTCATCAAACAGGTAAAATGCTCTTTCTCTGATAATTAAAAATAATTTTTTTCAAGGCATTTTATCAAAGAAAATACTCAAATATCAGATAAACATATAAAAGGTATTCAAGCCTATTACTTATCAGGGAAATGCAAATTAAAACCACAACAGCTGACTATGTAGGAGAGGTGAGTGTGGGATGATATGAGAGAATAGTACTGAAACATGTATATTAATTACCATATGTAAAATAGATGACCAGTGCAAGTTCGATGCAAGAAGCAGGCAGGGCACTCAAATCTGGTGCTCTGGGACAACTCAGAGGGATGGGTTGGGAAGGGAGGTGGGAGGTGGGTTTAGGATAGGGGGATACCTGTACACCCATGGCTGATTCATGTTGATGTATGGCTAAAACCACCACAATATTGTAAAGTAATTAGCCTCCAATTAAAATAAATTAATTAAAAAAAAACACCACAAAAGGTACCTCTATCATCCACCAGAATGACCAAAATGAAAAAACAAAAACAAAAGGTATGCCAAGTGTAGAGAAAGATATGTAGCAATGGGAACTCACATACTACTGGAGGTGGGGTAAACTGATATACCCACTTTGGAAAATTACTTGGCACTATCTACTAAAGTCTATCATATTTATGTATCTGTGACTCAACAATTCATTTCCTAGGTATTTTCCCAACAGAAAGACATATATTCATACTAAAAGACATGTAAAGGAATATTCAGATTTGTAAATAAACATATATACTTAGGGCTATTTTGAATGGTGTTCCTTTGAATATTCCTTTTAGTTTAGTTTAGCCACTCAGTCGTGTCCCACTCTTTGCGACCCCATGGACTGTAGACTACCAGGCTCCTCCGTCCACGGGATTTTCCAGGCAAGAGTACTACTAGCCTGGTTGGACTTCCCTGGTGGCTCAGACGGTAAAGCGTCTGCCTACAATGTGAGAGACCCAGGTTTGATCCCTGGGTCAGGAAGATCCTCTGGAGAAGGAAATAGCAACCCACTCCAGTACTCTTGCCTGGAAAATCCCGTGGACGGAGGAGCCTGGTAGTCTACAATCCACGGGGTCGCAGAGTTGGACACGGCTGAGCAGCTAAACTAAAAGGAATATCAAAGGAACACCATTCAAAATAACCTTAAACATATATGTTTATTTACAAATCTGAGACAATATATGTAGTTTCATAGTTTACCTTCTTCACTTATATTGTGAGCATTTTCCACATCATTATGCTTTAATATGATTTTCAATGGTTATAAAATATTATACTGTATAATATGTCATTCTTTATCAACTACTTCCCAGCTGTAAGGCATTTTAAGGGCATTTCAATTTTGAGGGGCTGTAATTTAATGAAACACCCTGATATATAAACCTATGTCTCCACCTCTGATTACATCCTCAGGGTTAAATTCTCTGAAGAGGAATTAGTAGGTCAAAAGACATGCTTTTCCAAAAATGCTGTACTAACTTACACTCCTAAAAGTAGTAAGTTAAAAGCAGTCATTTCAGAGAACCATGTCCATCACTGAATACCCCTTTAAAAGAAAAGTTTGGAGATGGATGAAACTGGAGCCCATTATACAGAGCGAAGTAAGCCAGAAAGATAAACACCATTACAGTATACTAACACATATATATGGAATTTAGAAAGATGGTAACGATAACCCTGTATGCAAAACAGAAAAAGAGACTCCGATGTATAGAACAGACTTGTGGACTCTGGGAGAAGGCGAGGGTGGGATGTTTCAAGAGAACAGCATCGAAACATGTATATTATCTAGGGTGAAAGAGATCACCAGCCCAGGTTGGATGCATGAGACAAGTGCTCAGGCCTGGTGCACTGGGAAGACCCAGAGGGATTGGGTGGAGAGGGAGGTGGGAGGGGGGACCGGGATGGGGAATACATGTAAATCCATGGCTAATTCATTTCAATGTATGACAAAAACCACTGCAATGCTGTAAAGTAATTAGCCTCCAACTAATAAAAATAAATGGAAAAAAAAAAATAAAAAAATAAAAGTTTGCTAAGCTGATGGGTAAAACATATCATTTTATTAATTATTAGGGCTGTTAAACATTTTTATATGTTTATTTAATTGGCTTATCTTCTGAGCACTATTCTTGTATCATTTGTCCAGTTTTCCAATGAACAGTTAGTTTCTTACTTGATTTGTCAGAAATCTATGTGTTAAAAATATCCTTTTGACATAAGATAGTATCAACAGTAAACAGTATAAACAGTACAGTAAAACTCTTAAAGTTTTAATTTTTGTTTATAATGTTTTATGATCACAGCCATTTCTAATCTCTCTAATCAAGTCTCACCTTTCTAGTCAAACATTTCTTCTTGAGACTATGTGTTTTCCTTTTGTTCTCCCTAAATACTACACATCATCAGTCTCAAAGAATACTACTACTCTTACACTTACTTTTTTGTTTTTTTTTTTTTACTCTCACACATTCTTCACACAAATGAAAGTAAGTCTGGCTTTGGCATCTAAGAGCTCTGTACCATTCTACTTACATAAGTCTTTAAGACAGAAAAAGAAGGGATGTAACAGGAAACCTATGTGCCTAACTGTAGAAGTTTCTGAGGTGTTCTACAAAATGGAACGCTATAAAAATAAACTGCATACAAAACACAGGTACAAATCATGTCTGAAATTGTATGCTATAATTTCATTTCTGAGCACCTTATATAACCACTACTGAACTACACACACTTTTTACTATCTTCTAAAGGAATCTTACCCAGTTTTTTTCCTCTTGAATTTTTTCAACATTGCCTTCTTGAAGCATAAAAGCTACACAGATTGCTATTTCTGGCTTTTTTACAAGCTATGATGATTTAGTTGCATCCTCCCAGATTTCCATCATATTCTAATTAGTTCTGTTAGTCAAAATTAGGTTTTGAAAGACAATTTCTCTTATTGTTTCCTCTGTCAGCAGGGTAAATCAATAATTAGATTTTCTTCTCTGTACAATCACTGAATTTTCGTCTATGAAGAGTATTCTAGGGTATTTTGTTTCTCTCTGTGTTCTTTAATTAAATACCCTATTTTTTCAAAAGTTGTGTGAAATTACATGCAGATGTCCATCTTTCTTGCTATTCAGTGTTATTCCACAGCTCTTCAACAGGTTTATCTGGGATAATTTGTCCTTATGTTCTCAATCCTTTCAGAGTCCTGTTCCAACAAAGCTTAATGAATACCAACAAGAAGTCACACTTATTTTCTTGTATTAAAATTGCATAGAATTTTGCTTAGTTTATTCCTTGTATCCTGAACTCTGTTGTTTGGTCGCGAAGTTGTGTCTGACTCTTCGAGACTCCATGGACTGTAGTCCATCAGGCTCCTCTGTCCACTGGATTTCCCAGGAAGAATACTGGAGTGGGTTGCCACTTCCTTCTCCAGGGGATCTTCTCGACCCAGGGGTTGAGCCCACATCTCCTACACTGGCAGGTGGATTGTTTATACTACTGAGCCACCAGAGAAGCCTATCCTGAACTTTAAGATGTAGATAACTGAGGTCTTAAATAACGCTCTTGACCCACCCTTCTTCCCGGTATTTTCGACTGTATAATAATTAGCATCCTGTCAGCTCCTAGTAATGTTTTATGTGATAACCTCCATCTTATCCAGTTTTACAATTTTACTGATTTTTTTTCTGTCTCCATCAACCTTTTCTAAATAAAATCTTCTTGATGTGATCAAGTCACCAGGTGAAAACATTCTTTCAGTTCCTGTGAGATGAAGCACAGAAACCTATCGTTCAAGGAATCTTAAGTCACAACCAGAAAATAAACCAATGACATGGGTAATCAGTTATCATTTCTCATTTGTTTCTCTTTCCAAGTCCCACACCTCAATTAAAATGAGAGATGAAAATATGATGTGGTCAAGGTATAGTTATCTATTATAAAAAAATCAATATGGGAACCAAATTCTTTGTTTAGTTCCTTTTTCCATGAGCTTTCCATAGGTCTCTGATGACTCAAGAGATAACAGAAATCTGTGGGATCATTTGATGATCTATAGCACTGCATGATCATTCTCAAAATAAATTCTATAGCATTAAAGATCTGTGGAAATATTTTCCAGTTTCTGAAGATTTTCACCGATAGTTTTTCCCAAACGAAAGAGATTTTAAAAAGGTGCCACTAGTTATAGTAAATTTGTGACTCTTGCCAGATCCTAAAAAGGCAAATGCATAAATAGCAAAGTGTGTGTAACAGAAATAATTACATATAAAGCATACTGCTTTCAATCTCATATAAAACTTTAATTATTAAAAGTTGAAATAAAAGTACCTACAGTTAAGCTTAAAAGTCCAATACAAAGTTAGCATTAATCAAGAAAAAAAATCTATGAAATTTAAAGTTTATTAACTTAGGAAGTTAAAAGATATTGGCTAAATCCTTAATGATCAACAAATTATGAAGTTTTCACAATGCTTAATAATGTAAATGGAAACAACTATTTAGAAAAAAACTTTAGCCTAGAAGATTACTTATGAATTACTGTCACCTAAAATAACTTAGCAGTATTTGGTAAAACTTCACATTTAATCAATTTTGAACACATTCACATTTAAAATTGTTTGCAAAAATGACTTATTTCATTCACTCATTCCAATATTTATTGAATGATTCCTACATATCAGACTCTATTCCAAGCCTTACATGGAAATTAAACACTAACTAGGAAATTAAACAGGAACGATGCACACACACACACAAGTCCCCCCAAACAGAGACGACCTCTTGGTTAAAGAAAAAACAAAGGATAAAATTTCTTATAATGCTTTTCATAACTTACATCACCATAAAAAACATATATAAAATTTTCCTACCACACAGACTGCTATTTGAACTTGAGTTCTACAATTCTTTTCTAATATTTAAGGTATACTGTGTTTTATAGTTTCACATTATAGCAAAGCTATTCTAACAGATTCAAAGTCACTTTAACATGTTTTAACAAAAAAGGTGGGGTGGAATAAAACTGTAAGGAAGATTATATTCTACCTTCTAATAATGAGGGCAGATAGTACTATGTTAAAAAAATATTAAAAGTCTTTCTTCAAATTTAAAAAATTCCTAAGAAAGTAACTGCCATAAAAATTACAAAGAGGAAAATATGAGCAGAGTTTTTCAAATGATGTGAAAAATGAAAAAAATTAAAGGGTATTATAGATATAAAAATCCCAAGCATATTATTAACATGAAAAATCTAAAAGCAATCTAAATCATACACCTCCTCATGCCAGATAGGCACTACCACGAGTCTCAAAATGTATCTGAAAAAGGTAGGTCTGTAGATGGAGGTAAAAAAGTAACTTGGGAGTATTTTGATCACTTACTCAGGCCTTTTGATCCCATGTCGTCAGGGATCTCCTGTAGAGAGTAGTTTCCAGAGAGCAAGCAATAAAAAGATAATCAAAGAAAATAGTTGTCAGTAATGCATAAAATTGGTGCTACAATAAGAGACAGTTCCAAGACCATTACAGGTGCACGTATCTTACAGAGCATTTCTGTGTATTTCTGAAAGTTTAATTAAGCGAATGGCTAGATATGCTCTACTAAAAGAATGTGAGTTCTATATGAGAAGCTGATTAGGAAAGAAACAAAAATTTTGACTGTTTCTTGCTATTTTAAAAGTAAAATTCAGATTGTCTACATATAATGAAGAAATAGGATAAAACAGAATGTTTTGAAAAGATCTATTATCAAAGATTGGCAATGCTATACCTAGAAATCAATAAGAAGGTTCTGAGGTACTCATGTTTTTGTCTAAAATATTCTTTTGAGATTATGTTGAATGTTTCTTATAAGAACCTTTACATAAAATAATTCTATTTTAAACACAGCTTAAAAATATCATTTACTTTAGGAATTCCTAAGGGGCCAGAAAAAGTTAAGATTGGTATGCAAATTAGTTTATGCTTGTTAAATTGTCCCTAGTTAAGATAAATAGTAACCTGTTGCAGCTCTTGAAACTGTCTCCATGGTAACAACCAACTGCAGGGCAGTAGGTCCCTCTACATTTATCTTCAGTTGACCACTGGATCCACATACTTACGGTCAGCATCACTTGTTTCCTGCTCACTCTGGTCCTTGTTCTTGTAGAAGGGGAATTTTCGGGAAAAGAGGTTCTTTTTACGCTTGTCATTGAATGACTGCTGAAGAAGAGAAGGAGGGGCAAAACAAAGGGATGTCTACTGTCTGTGTGTACAAAGGCCCAGCCTAGTAGCTCTGTGAAAGCTGACTCTTATGACCACAGTGTGCAGTTTGTATATGAATTTTGCTTTAATCACATATACAGTAAACTTCTAATTTAGTATTAACTTCTCTAATTCTAACATTTTAACTGAAAGTACTGAAAAATTTAAGGAGTATAATTCAGTGATACCTAAAAATAATGAGTAAGTGCTACTTGATTTAAAAAAAAAAAAAAGGGAAGAGTAAACTAGATTAGCTACTACTGTAGTCCAAACCAAGTTCACATCTGTTTGTATGAATCCATATTCTTTGAGAAGATTTCTAGGTGCTCGATAGCCAAAATTACTTTAGCTATGCAAATATTTTTAATGGTTTACATAATAATCTTAATTTTCCTCTGGCTTTAGCAAATTTTTTCCTTTTCTCTCTCTGTGGCTCCAACAAAATAACAAAAAGCTACTACTAAAAAAAAGAACCAAAAAAACTGAGAAAGTTACTAGTGTTGAAAATTTAAAACAATCTTTTTTTTAAAAGAGAATTAAATAAATGCTAAATGTTTTTGTTAGCATTACTAATAAATAGGATTTATTTAGGATAAATAAATAAATAATTTAGGATTTATTTAGCATTTAGGATAACTAAATGCTTATGGCATGGAACACGAAATGGGATGAAAACTAAGATGTGTCCATTAAATACAGAGTCCAGCAAAAGAATTATCGGTGCTATCTAACCAAGGAAGAAGATTCAACTTTCCTGGCCAATTTAAATGCCATTATAACTAATGTATTAGCCTTTCAGCTCTGCCATATTACCTATTTTTAAAGTATATATAAATAAAATGGAACCAGGTTCAATCCACTGGCACCATGTCCTGAATATGGAATAAAAGGTTTGATGCCTGTAATGCCAGAAAGGCAGTTAAAATTCTAGTAGTTTATACGTAATTGTTATGACAGCCGATCTGATGGTCCCTTATTGCACAGATGTCTGAAACAAGCTTTTTCCCTTCTTGAATGTCCCATTTGTGCATTCAGAGTTTTAAAAGCATGTAGCACAAAGAAAGATGAGGCTAAAGAGGAACAGCTTCTTTTGTAATTTGTCACAGGCACCCATGTCTTGAAGGAAATGGCCTTGTGACACCAGGAATTACTATTTTTTTTTGGAAGTGGGAACAACATAAAGGACAGACATTTGTTTTAATTTTCTTTTAGTTTATTCATGTCATACGATGCCATCAGTATTCTGAAGTATATCAACACCAGACGGTGTTTTTTTGGGGTATGTCTATATTTTCAGTCATGGGATGTCAGGTGATTAAAGTACTGAAATGGATTAAAGTGACTTTAAGCTCAAATTCTATTACTTGAAAAGATTTATTTTGGTAAGAATATTTATGAAAACTTTTATTTTTATCTTTTCATATCAACAGTTCAAAATTATTAAGTTCATAGTCATTAGTCAAGTGGACTGTCTTGATATTAATCTTAAAATATGAAGGCTCTGATAAAGAAAGCAGAAGCTAAAAACTAAGTTGAGGAAAAAATACTGTGGAGAAATATAAGCTTATAGTTTCATAAACTGTCAATAGCATAATTTGAATAAAAATCCTTGCATGAATCCAAATTTTAAAAAACAGAAAGAGAAGAAAACAAATTTCTGTAGGAAAAAAAATCCTGGTAATCTAATTTAGGGAAGGACTAAATTTTTTGTTCATGACAATCACTGATTTCAAATTTAGTAATAATTTTAATCCCATCCAATAAAACTGATACATTTTTAATAAAAGGTTATTTACTCCTCCTACTGCATATATAGTGGTCAGAGTCAGTTTCACAGCAAACAACCAAAAGAAACATGAAGTTTAAAATGTTTTGATTTTTGATATCTTTGCAGTTAGCCAAAATGAGATATCATAAAGATATCATAATATAGGACAGAAAGAAATGCTTGTTAGTCAAGAATGTATTAATTGTATTATATCTAACATCCTGCAGGTGAAGAATTTATTAAAAGTGAAAAATAGCACAAGCAAACAGGATGAAAATGTATAGGGAAAATATAAAACTGAAGAAACGTACTACCTCTAGTTTCTTTATATTTTCAATACAAAACAATCTGTTTAGTTACTTATTGTTATTCATGCTATACTGCAAGAGAGATAGTGCAATAAATATAAGGACTGATAAAACATTATAAATTTATGAAACATATATCAAGTATCTAAATATATAATTTCCATATGTAGTATTTCAAAATAGCTAAATGAATGTTAAAAATATTAATGAGAATCTGAAGTGTTTTTAAAAACTCTGTACTGTAAATAAAGTCCATAACCTACCACATAAGGACAGGAAAAGAAGAGCTTAGAATGGGAAACGGTATTACAGAGAGATGCAGTTCTGTATCAATGGCAAGCGTATTTTTACCCCACTCAGTACCATGCATACTTTGGGTGCTGTGTTAGAACACAGTGACTGTGTATAAAGTTGGTTATAGTCAACAAACAAGACTAAGATTTAAATATGTCGTTAATTCAGTTAACTTCTTACAGTTTGAAAGAAAAGTTACAACATGCAATTTCTTTTTCAATGCACTGACAATGTATTTACTAAAATATTTTAAAAGACATTATAAAACGAGCATGAAAATCATTGTATGTACTTCAAATCCTGAGCATTTACTTGGGGATATTTTTCTTCAAAGATTTTCTATTTCAAATATTACTTCATATTATACTATATGATTTTGCATTTTCTGAAAGGTACAAATAAATTTAAAAGAAACTTATCATTCCCAAAATAACTGAATACATTATACAATTTACTGAGATTTAATTTCTTTGATCAAGGACCATATTCCTTTAAAATATTAAAACTTTGAATGCTTAATGATATCAGACATGTACAAAGAGTAGGATTAATTTACTTGCAGACTAAATTTTCCATATTCTTTTGAAACTTGATCAAAAGATGTATACAACATTTGCTTTAGATGTAAAAATCCCCAAATATAAAACATTGCTATAAACAGTATTTCAACACAGTATGTGGTCAGCTCTTTCTTCAGGCTTATTGCTAGAATATTCCATTACAGTATTTACACACATAGTACAGGATGAAGCCTGTGATATCATCCATTGATGTTCACCAGATTCAAGGACTTTACATGAAAACAAAAATATATCTAAAATATATATAAAATAATTTTGATATATTTCTTGCCCATTTACAAAGTCCTCCTCTTGACTGTCCCTTTCTTTATTTTCTTAATATAAAAATTCATATTGATTTAAACATTTGAAATATGGATTCTATTAATAAGTAATATTAGGAATAAAGGAGGAAAAGAACAAGGTAATTTCCACACTTGCAAAACCCCATAAACTTACGTTATGAACTAGTTAATAATTTGGGGGGACCTATTTTCTCAGAAGATGTATTATTAGTTATGGCAATTAATACTGTTGACACAAGTTTCTAAATAACTATTCATCTGTGTGAAGGCTGAATTCATTTCACTTACAAAAATAACAATCAAAAGTATGTTAAGAATACATCAAGTGACAATTTTGACAATCTGGAAAAGTCTGTGGAATGGGTGCTTTCATTTAATAAATTGCTTACTTGAGCAAATTTCTATTACTGTGAACCACCAATGGCAAGAGCTGTTAATAGTTAATTCTTACGGCGAGGTCCTTCTAACTTTAATAATGTAGCTCAAACAAGAATTATGAAAAAGTCAATAAGAGATTTCATATACGCACCCCTTTATCTCCTCTTGCTTTAGAATTGAATTTCACTGTTTTTAATCGGGCTCGTTCTTTCTTCTCAACCCTGGTAAAGGACAGATTATTTTTTAAGTATAATAAACATATTCAAGGCTCTAACTAGAAATCATCAGGATTGCTACTTTAATATGGAGCATTTTTATATTCTAAAGCCTTTAAAAGTCATTTGCATCTCACAATAACAATTACTGAGGAATGAAATATAGGGTTCATTTTATTATGAAACAAAACCACTTGTGAAGTACAAGTATGTATACTTATATATGCACTCAAATCCGTAACTATACTGAAATTACTATGATGTACCACTTCTGAGTTCAGCAATTTTCCAGGTTTTCCATTTGTTCTTGTTTTTGAATACTTAGCTTATGGAACACATATGCTAAGAACTAAGTGTCAGAAAGAAAGCAAATGAAGTAAAATGTTAACAACTGAGGAAAGCAGATGAAGGAAATGTGGGTATTCTTTGTAGTATTCTTGTATTTCTTTTGCACTTATATTTTATGCAGCTCTGAAATTTTTAAAAATAAAAAGGAGGGAAATAAAAACATTTAAGCTTAATTCCAATGATATATTTGTATAAATACATAAATAACCACTTACAGTACACAAAATAAGAGTTTTAAAGTATCTTTGGAAGGATAAAGAAGAAATGGTAACCTTAGTTAACTTCTCACGGAAGAAGGTGAAATGGGTGGGTGGGGAACAGCGTTCAGAGGGGGCCTCTACAGCTGTTAAATCTTTTGAATTTTAAACCTTGTTCAAAGTGTTACCTTTGAAACAAGCAAGCAACATACTACAACAACGTATATAGTGTACAATCTATAGCCACGTATGAATATTGCAACCAGCATGAATCTTGAAAAATTTCATACAAATTAAGCTTTATAAACCCTTGATTTCAGCATAGCAGTTATATTAGTATATAGCAGAAAAACCTACCCAAAAGCCTATGAATAAATGCATATCTTTCATTTTTTATTATATAACTATAAAGTTTTACCATGGGTACAGAAGAACCCTAGCAGTCACGGATTTAAAATTTGTTTTTACTATTTCAGAGCAACCCCAAGCGTCCATGATAGGAATAATTAATTTATAATTTTGCCAAGACACTTATTCAGGGCACTGAAAAACTAACATTTAGTGAGTGAACATTTACAACTCAAATGGCTTTGTTTTCTAATCATTATTTTGCTTACTAGTTAAGAGACTTCAACTGTGTTTGTCAATACTGTTCCCGAAAGAAAGCTAAGAACTGTAGGAACTCCAAGTCCTTGTACTATTATTAGACTTAAAGATGTCTAAGAAAGATAGCATTCATGTAAGAAAATACAAGTTTAGAATCCACTGAAGGATGAAATGGCATAATTGGTTGTGATTTCATACTGTAATTTATGGCAGGAAAATTATGTTCTACATTATTATTCATGAATTCGGGAATTTGTAGAGGTGTCAAGGTATATCTCTTTTATCACTTATGGCTTCAAAATCCAACCTTATAGAATTTTTATACAAAACGAAAAATATCTCTTTCCACCAAAGTCAGCTATATTTCTCATTTGTTGCAGACACAGGTAAAGCCTTTGCAGATAAAAGACTTCAAGAGATAAAGACAATTTTTAGAAACTCTGACCTTGATATTTATGATGTGAGGTTTCTTTTGACTCAACAAGGCACAGAGGTGGCATTTCATGTTTAAAGGATACTATATTCTATTCTAGGGAAGAAGTTATGCTGAGGGTTGCATTGCTAAAAGAGGAGTTTTCACCAAATAGTTGGATCTTGCTAAAAATATGGATCTAGCCAACAACAGTCATAAATTCCAAAACCACAATTACAGAGATCTTGGCAATATTTCAACATTTGTACTCTTCAAAGTCTATCAACAGATGTACAAATATATATATATATGGTAGAGAGGTTTATCAACAGGTATATGATTTGGCATAAGTATCAATTCAGAGTCTCAACAAAATAAGTATAAGTCCAATTTATGGCTATCTTAAAACTTTTAAGTTTTAGGCAGTTATTTGGCTGAATCAGATCTCATATACAAGTTCTTTTGGGGAAATTATGAACTGACGTTTTAACACCTTTCCCATAAAAGTAGAGACATTCAATAACATTCCATTGACCTCAGAGAGGGTTGTTGGGATCACCTTTTTCAAAGAAACTCTGCACTTAACCACTTATGCCACTAGATGGTAAGTATGCATCAGTGAGTGAATCACTACAATAACCAGTTAAAACAAAGAGGGAAGACTACTGAATGCATGGATGGTTCGAAATTAAATAAGAAAAAGAGATGATATCTAAAAGAAATATCTAAAAATCTAAAATATATACAAGAAAATTTTAGGTATTTCTAAAAATTTTGCATTTAAAATGCTTTCTTTTTTTTAATCTAGAAGAGGCAATTCACACAATCAAAACCCCTGAAAATTTGAGTTTTAACACCACCTACATGGGAAAACTCATAGCTCAGTCGGTAAAGAATCTGCCTGTAAAGCAGGAGACCTGGGTTTGATTCCTGGGTCAGGAAGATCCCCTGTACAGAGGAGCCTGGCAGGTTATAGTCCATGGGGCTGCAAGAGTCGGAATGACTTAGCAACTGAAATCAAACCACCACATGGGAAAACTATAGAGGTTGTTAATTCTTTCTCCGCTGGTATAGATCTGTGGCACAGTGACTTAAAATATACCTACTTTGTTTTTAACAACAAGTAGGACCTCTAGAGAAATTTCTATTTGGGGGCTTCATATTCTCTTGGTTAAAATATAAGTGAAAATTTTGTAAATATAAGTAAAATATTGGTTAAAATATAAAGTGAAAGAAAGTGAAAGTTGCTCAGTTGTGTCTGACTCTTTGTGACCCCATGGACTATACAGTCCATTGGATTCTCCAGACCAGAATACTGGAATAGGTAGCCTTTCCCTTCTCCAGGGGATCTTTCCAACCCAGGGATCGAACCCAGGTCTCCGGCACTGCAGGTGGATTCTTTACCAGCTGAGCCACAAGGGAAGCCCAAGAATACTGGAGTGGGTAGCCTATCCCTTCTCCAGTGGATCTTCCTGACCCAGGAATCGAACCAGGGTCTCTGCATTGCAGGTGGATTCTTTACCAAATGAGCTATCAGGGAAGCCCAGTTACAATACAAGGTGAATAGAATTAAACAGCTGTGAAACACAATATAAAACACACAAGCATAAAATCATCACTTCAGTAAAAGAAATATAAAAAATCCCAGCAATTATTCACGCTGTCCAATTTTCAAGTGGTAAGAGTCTAACAGACTTTTATTTACCTGCGTTTACTGGGAATCACCCCAACTTCATCACTTTCACCATCTGGTGTAACCTGTCTGGCTTGCCACCATTCATCATCAGAAGCATTAATAACATGGAGGATATCTCCAAATTTGAAGTTCAATCCCTGACTAGGAAGGCCACTGTCTTTAGTCTTGTCATAATCAAAGAGGGCCCTAGATTAAGAAGAAAAAAGTCTGCATTTCTTATAATGATATTGTCAATATTAAATAAACAGGATCCTAAAAGTATATATATAATTTAGGTAGATAATGAAACAATGTACCATGGTAGGCAAAATAATGCCAAGCTCAATTTTGTGTTATATACAAGAAGACAATGATTAAAAAGAAATAGGAAAATTAACTTGTTATGGTAATAGACATACTATTCTCTCAATAGTGTATGAGAAATTTAAAATATTGTATGAGAAAATAAAAAAACATACTTTTAGTACAATCCAATAGCAAACTATATTGAATTCTAAAATGAAGACAAATCTGATGAGTTGCTCTAAATTAATAATGTAAATATTAAAAGAGACTCTCCTCTTTGACTAGACACACTTGGGAGAACAAATTTCCTGACTGATCTGATTCATCATTTGTGGACTGTAAGGCTAGAAGAACAGAGTGATTATTTTCCCAGGTAAGTATTTCTTTCATTTGTTCATAAAACCAGAGTTAATAGGGTTTTCAGAGTCAATAACAACTATGAAAACTAATAACACATGACTATATGATGACTTAATAGTTGCCAACTGTTTTGGAAAAAATATTGTATTAATTTAACATAATTTCAAAATGTTAGGAATATTTTAAAATTTGGTAACAAGAAAATAATGTCCTACTACTTAATTAGTGTACAATATTTAAAGAAATTAAATTTCTTATATTAAAAAAACTTCTCTCAAGAGTAGAGGAAGGATCCCAACAACTACATTTAAAATATAATTTACTGATTATTTTGTTTTAATTTGGCAACGGGAAATTAGGATACAAATCATACTCCTTTTCATGCTACTCAACTTTTAAGAAGCTGTCTCTTGAAGTAAAACTGAAGAGGGGTGAAATTAATTGACAGCTAAATGAATGAATTAGTTAATGCTTTTCAAATATGTTCTTTCAAGTCTTTTCAGAGGCTAACAGTGTAAAGGAAATAGGTGAATCAAAAGTGGGAAGGTTTACTTAAACATATATTAAAACATATACCACACATTGGGTTTTATTTGAAGAAAGAATTCTAAAAGTACAGAATTCTACTGTAAAAATTAAGATTATAAATGATACAAATGCTAAAGTCATTACTTCAATAAATTCTGAATACTGAGGAAGCATCTTTCTATTGGAAAAATAGTTAACATAAAAAAACAAAGGTTTGATATAGTCAGGCATTTACTAAATATTTATTTAAAAAGGTAAAGATGACAAAGATGATGAAGATACAAATAAACAGAATACAAGATAACAGAGTAGCTTAAGAGGTAGAACAAATACCACAAGACATTCAGAAAAGGGAAAACTATACCTTAACACTTTTATTATCATAAATTAAACTTCTGAATTACAAAATCAATACAACTATATTACTGATAAGCAATGGATAAACTCAAAATTTCTACCCCCTATGTTAACATTTAAACTTTGCCTTTTAGTATTTTGATTCATTAAAAAAAGGGAAGTACTCATGGAATACTTATGTGGGTTATTAATCATAATTAATGAACACTTGTTAATCTACTATCTAACCTAAAGGTTTCTACATAAAACTTTTATCAGTGACTCACATTCACCTATGTATTTTTTCCCTTGATCCTGCTTTCCTCAGATTGAGTTAAGCGCTAATTAGAGTATAACCACTATTCTGAATACAGAGTTTATTATTTCCTTGCTCTTTACCCTTTTTTGCTGTTGGTTTGATTTTATCACACACATATGGATGACTATGTATTTATGTATGATTTTACTTGTTTTAGATCTTTATAAAAAAGCACCATACTGTACATAGTCTATTGTAGCCTTAACTTCATTCTTACTTTTGAAATTAAAAATATATCTACCAATAAGAACCATAAGACTTCTGGTTAATTACAGCAGATTGGCTACATGTGCCTACAGGCATGCCTCATTTTATTGTGTTTCACTTTATTGCACTTGGCAGACATGGTGTATTTTTTTTCCCCCACAAATAGAAGGCCCTGCGTTGGTCTGGCATGACTACTGGTGTCATTTTTCTGACATTTGCTCATTTTGCATCTCTGTGTCACATTTTGGTAATTCTCCCAATACTTCAAACTTTTTCATTAATATATTTATTATGGTGATCAGTGATCCTTAATTTTACTATTGTAATCATTTTGGGGTATCACAAACCATGCTTTTATAAGATGGTAACTTCATAAATGTCTGTGTTCTGAATGCTCCACCAACTGGCCCTTTTCCCCACCTCTCTCCCTTCTCCTCGGGCCTCCCTACTCCGAGACATGACAATATTGAAATTGGACCACCGAAAAGCCCAAAGATGGCCTCTTAAGTGTTCCTGTGAAAGGAAGAGTCACAGGTCTCTCACTTTAAATCAGAAAAAACAGTTATGGTTGGTGAAGAAGGCATGTTGAAAGCTAAGACAGGCCAAAAGCTAGACTTCTTGCATTAGTAAGCCAAGCTGGAAAAAAAACAAAGGTTCTACTTGAGTACATACAGGAAAAATACGAAAGTGAAAAAGGCTTATTGCTGATACTGAGAAAATTTTAGAGGTCTAGATAGAATATCAAACCAGCCATAACATTCCTTTGAGCCAAAGTGTAACTCAGAGCAAGGCCCAAGCTCTTCAATTCTGTGAAGGCTGAGAGAAGTGAGCAAGCTGCAAAAGTTTGAAGTTTGGTTCCTAAGGTTTCAGGCAAGAAACCATCCCTACAACATAGAAGTACAAGGTTACGCAGCAGGTACTGATGTAGAAGCAGCAACAAATTATCCAGAAGATCTAGCTAGGATAAGTAATGAAGGTTGTTACAAAAAACAATAGACTTTCAATGTGGACAAAACAGACTTCTATTGGAAGAAGATGCCATCCAGAACTTTTATAGCTAAAGAGAAGTCAATGCCTGGCTTCAAAACTTCAAAGGGCAGGCTGACTCTCTTGTCAGGGCTTAATGCAGCTGTGAGTTTAAGTTAAGCCAATGCTCATTTCCCATTCTGAAAATCCAAGGGTCTTTAAGAACTATGCTAAATCTACAGTGACTTCAGCCTGTGCTCTAGAATTGAAATAACAAAGCCTAGATGACAGTACGTTTGTTTGCAACATGGTTTACTGAATATTTTCAGCATACTGTTAAAGACCTACTGCTCAAAAAAGATTTCTTTCAAAATGTTACTGCTAACTGACAATGTACTTGGTCACCTAAGAGCTTTGATGGAGATGTACAACGAGATGAATGTTATGCTGAGACAACTTCCATTCTGTAGCCCAAGGATCAAGGAGTAATTTCGACTTTAGATGTCATTAAGAACACTGTTGATTCAAGGGAAGAGGTCAAAATGTCAATATTAATAGGAGTTTGCATGAAGTTGATTCCAATCTTCATGGATGACTTTGAGGGGTTTAAGACTTTAGCAGAGAAAGTAACTACATACATGGTAGAAACAGAAAGAGAACTAGAATGAGAAGTGGAGCCAGAAGATGTGACTGAACTGCTGCAATCCTATGATAAAACTTGAAAAGATGTTTAAACTCAAAGGATGAGGATGCTTGTGGATGAGCAAAGAAAGTGGTTTCTTGAGGTAGAATCCACTCCTGGTGAAGATGCAGTGAAGCTTATTGAAATGACAACAAGGTATGGGAACATTACATCAACTTACTTGAATAAAGCAGCAGCAAAATCTGAGAGAATTGACTGTAATTTTGAAAAAAAGTTGACTGTGGTTAAAATACTATCAAGCAGCATTACATGCTCCAGAGAAATTGTTCATGAAAGGAAGAGTTGATCAATTTGGCAAATTCTATCACTGTCGTCTTATTTTAAGAAACTGCCACAGCCACCTCAAACCTTTAGCAACCACCTCCCTGATCAGTCAGCAATCATCAACATAGAGGCAGGACCTTCTATCAGAAAAAAAAAGAAAATTTAAATTGCTTAAGGCTCATTGAAAATTAGCATTTTTTTAGCAATAAAATATTTTAAAATTGAGATTATATTTTTTAAAAGCCATAATGCTATTGTATATTTATAGACTACAGAACAGTGTAAATATGTTTTATATGCACTGGGGAACCAAAACATTCATGACTTCCTTTATTGTGATATTCACTGTACTGTGGTCTGCAACTGAACCTGCAAAATCTCTCAAGTAATGCTTGCATTTTCTTTCCATCATGAAACTCACTAAAATGACAATAACAACAACAACAAAAGATAAGTACAAAAGAGAGATGACAGCAGGAGAAGACAGAGTTTAACATGGTTTTGAATGATGGTAAATGGCGTACCTGAAGAGAGGGACTGAACTAAAATACCGAAGTTAAGATTTATTTACTCCACAAGACCCTAGAAATGGTCACAAATTAGAAGTGCACACTATCCAGGTAAGCAGAGATAAATTACAGCAGTGAAAAGAGAAGGACTGGTAGAAATTATCATAGTAATTAAATGTTATTCAAACAAAGAATATTTTATTATAAAAAAGATACCGGAAAAGAAAACTGTTGGATGATATGTCATAACAACTTAAAAAAATTTCTAGTCTTTATGTACTTTGTCTTTATCATACTATTATTATTCAAGAGGTTATATAACTTTCATTAATAAAATTATAATAATATTCCCAAAGACATACTACTCCTAAAAGACATACTATCAGGAAATCAATCATAAAAAAAATTTCCTTGGTTTTCAATACTGCATTTTCCTTGCAATATACTTTTCTACAGTGAAAACTAAGTCATAGTGAAAATCCTGAAAGAACTTGCATGCATAAATGAAGACTGCTGTAACTAGAAATTAAAAAAAGTTTACCTGACATAGAGGGATCGCTTCTGGCTAGTTCGAAGAGAACCTGAACCTGAACTAATGCTACTATTCATCATCTGCTCCCGTAAGTCATGTATTTTGGCTTCAAAACGACTGTATTCTGATAGAAGAAAAAAGAAAAGTAAATTCATATTTTATATCCAAAAAAATTACTTGAAGATAAAGTATTAAATATGTAAGTATTAAATATGTAAGCTGTCTTACAATTGATTAAATGTGGTCAGACTCTTAAAAGAGAGTAATCTATACAAGATTTTGCCTAATATGTAAATTTCAAAACATAACAATCTTCTAAATGTATCATAAATTAGAACTGTCTGAGAACAGTATATTCAGTACACTATTTTAGAGCTCATATCACATTTAATAAATTAAAAGACAATCTCCATGCATCAAATAGCAGTATTAATCTTACTCTACTGTTGAATTTAACTGTAAATTTTAAAAAGTAGGATTTATTCTAATTTCTATACTAAAAAAATAAGTCTAAAATAATTTACATTAGACACTTTGTTTACTGACTTTTTCCCTATGAAGAAGTCAGCTAATTATATTTTCACATTATACAATATGAGCACTCAGTAATATGGGAAAAATATGCCTTAGAAGCTAATGAAATTAACTTTACTTCAACTCATTTTATAATTTATAAATTTTCAAAACAGCAAAATAAGACACAAAAAGCAATCTGAAGGAATAAATATATTATTTAAGATAGTTTTTATACAAAAACAAATATGATTTTGAAGATGGATGATTTTAAATTATTCCATACATTAAAAACTACCAAAACTATTAATAAGTTTATAATCACTTAAAAAATACTACAATTACATGGTTATACGCACTTATATCTTTTTCTCTATTTACAATGACCAACTGTCTAACAGACAAGTCAGATACCATCAGATTTTCTTATAAAACCAGTATCATAATAAAAGCAAGTTATGTCTGGAGAGTGTGTAGTTTCAGAAGACAAAAAGTAAACATGATTATTGCTGCATTACTCTTCGTTTTACCACAGTCACCAAATTTATTTGCTGGATACCAAGACTAATTAACTGTAGCCTGTCAGGCTTGTCTGTCCATAGGATTTTTCAGGCAAGAATACTGGAGTGGTTTGCCATCTCCTTCTCCAGGGAATCTCCCTGACCCAGAGATCAAACCTGTGTCTCCTGCAGGTGGATTATTCCTTACCTGCTGAGTCACTGGGGAAGCCAACTGAAGCAACAATTCATCAAAAAACTCAAAAATATTTAAATGTTCACAATAATATCTATTCTTTTATTATTCTTTAAAAATATAATAGAAAATTTAAAAAATTAGTAGACTGATTAGTAAAAATGAATCCCTGACAATTCAACAATTATCAACTCATGGCAAATCTTTAGGCTGTGAAGACACAGCTAAGACACAGATTGATGAATGAAGACATACGTTAAAAATATGAAGTGAATCTTGAGTTTACACTGGCTCTTCTAATTAAAAATTAGTACCATTAGGTTTTTATGTAATATCTTTTATCTCTAAATGCTTTCTTACATATGAAGAATCCTGGTTCTCAACACACTGGGGATAACAGAATTACAGTACTCCATCACAACTTACTTGTTTATAATAGCAACATTACAATCATTACATGATCACTGAAAATAGTCAACTATCTTCCCTAGTTCTTTTTATTTTGGAGTATGTTCTGTTAGAATTATACAGTTGAACAGCATTTTATTTTTTTGAACAGCATTTTAAAATCACTTGGAATATTCCTTCCTAGGTGTGAATGCTGCCAGATGAATATACATCAAGGTTCATTTGTTCATTTTTATTTTCAACTTCACTTTTTAGGGGTTGCTTTGTAAACTTTCCTTTTTTTTTTTTATACATAGGTAAAATAGTTCCAAAGTCAAATCTATAAGACAAGGATATTAAACAGATATCCCTTTCTCCCTACCCTATTATAAACATTTAAAGAAAGGTTTATCCTTCCATTTAAAATAATATAAGTAAATATATATGTTCACACAAATATGTTTACACTTATCTATATTATAGTAAACATATTTTATTTATACATATTTTGTAATTATGTGTATATGTACACACACATATATGTATTGCTCCTTCTTTAATAAACCGTAACATACACATTTCTCCACCTTGCTTATTTTATTCAATAATAAGTATAGCAGTGGTCTTACTGCAGTAATAGTAAGAATGCTCCACACCATATACAGATGTCCCTCTTTTTTTTATAGCTACATGGTTCTTTTATTTCTAACCTCTGTCTCTGTTACAAGATACTGTATAGGGTTAGATTTTGCTTTACTATCAAATCTGAAAATTGTTTTCTTGAAACAATTAAGGTGAGTTAATTTTTGATATGACTGAAGTGTGTGTGAACTCCAGTTCTATTCATACTATTCTATGTTTATATATTGAATATATATGAATATATTTACAAATATGTCTTTTATATAAATAGCCTGAGGCAGATTATATATTCCAAGGATGCCTGGCATCCCATATGGTCTTGTACTATGTGACCTTGCCATTTCCCCATCAAGAGGTGAAGTCTAATCCCCTTCTTCAATTTGGGCTGGTCTTATGACTTAACTCTAAGCAAGTAAATGTGGTAGAAATGATCATATGTGACTTTCCAGGTTAGATCAGTAGAGTCTGTGGAACTTTTTCCTGGTTCTTATGGGATGCTTGAACTGGAGGAAGCCAGGGATCATGTAAGAAGTCCAAGCACTGCTCTGTAGAGGTCATGCAATAGTGCTCTGAGCCTAAACCTTTAGCTGGTACCAACAAAGTCACAAGAAAAGGAGAGAGAAGCCATTCTAGACCTTCCAAAGTAGCTTATCCATCTGCTGAATCCCATTAAGTGACTTCATTCTATGCCACAAGGACCATCTAAGCCAAAATTCTGGCTGAATTCCTAACCTACTGAATCCATAAAATGATTGCTATCTTAATCCACTGAGCTTTAGGGGTAGTTATGAAGTAACAGTAACCAGAACACAGTCTCACTATGTAGTCTATTTTATTTGTTCACAAATATATACACACACACAGGGACAAGCCTGTCTAAGTTTATAAATATACACACACAATAGATTCCTAAACAAGGGATCATATATATTATTTAAATATAATATATAAAAAATTTATATAAAATTTGTATTTTACTAAACATGTTTATAAAACATTTATATACACTTAATAAAATATATCTACATAAAAATTATATATTTATAAAAGTGAATATATAAACATAAAATTAGGAAGCTTTATTCTGCTGTTCTAATGATAACCCTTTGTTTGGATTTTGACCCCTACTATGAGCAATCTCCCCAAATCTGATTTGAAACATTATTCTTTTATGTTAATAACTTCAAAGCAATCAGAAAGTTTATTCTATGTTAATATTATCTTCAATTCTACCCCCACTTTCTGATAACTGCATTTTCTCCAAATTGTCACAGCATCCAGTTTTTTCATATTATACACTCTTTTCCTTATAACTATCTTAATTACTAACACCAGTCTTTATATCAGTATCTCTTCCATCATCTTGGGTGTCTGAAGTTTGTTCTTTCTTCTCAGGAAGGGTTTATGTGAACTCTAATTCTTCACTAATATATTTGACTGCAGTCTTTATATTTCAAGCCCATTTGTTTCAGTTTCTTTCTCTGATTCTTAAGTATACTGACTGCACTGTCTCCTATAAACTACTGCTGATGAAGTTCTGATGACAACTTCATTCTTTTCTTTAAAAAACCTTTTTTGAGGGCCTGCAATTTCACCAACAAATTTTTCTTTTAATTTCAATAATTTTATTAGAATATTTCTCAGTGATTGTTATCACCTTAGGTACCTGGACAATCCTTTTGATAATGCAGTTTTAATTTTTTTTAAATTTTAGAAAAGTTTTCCTGTTTATACATTTTTATTACTTGTTTAGTTGTACTGGTTTTTTCCTATAAGATTCCTATTATATGTATGTCGAATATTCTCTGCCAACTTTCTGTATCTGTCACTCTCAAATCCATTATTATTTTTTAAAAGATTAATATACTTTTCAAAATTGAAGTAATCACAAACTGTTTTTCCTGAACCATTTGAGAGTAACTTGCTATCGTGATGTCTCATCACTCTTGAATTCTCAATGTGTACTTCCTACAAATAAAGATGTTTTTTAATACAATCACAAAACCATCAAAATTAAGAAAGCAACATTAATAATTACTACATCATGCTCACATTCAAGTTTTCTCAATAATGTCATTAAGAGCAAATCAATCAAGTTTGAGACCATGAGTTGTCTTATGAGAGTACACAGGCATTTAAACTGTCGTATTTTAAAACATCCCCTCCAGTGAGAGCAGTTCCTCAGTCTCCTTGACTTTGCAATCTTACTACTGCTGAAAACTACAGGTCAATTATTTTGTAGAACTTCTCTTTAGATTTGTTGATGTTCCCATATGATGAGTCCTGCAACTTTGGCAGGAATGTTACAGAAGAGATGGATGTTTCTTCCAATGCACCCTACCAGGTGGTATACATTTTTGATTTGTCCCATTACTGATGCTATTAACTTTCAGCACTTGATGAAGGTTGTGTCTGCCAGGTTTCTTTACTGCAAAATTACTTTTTTTTTTTTTTCAGTTGCAAATAATGTTATTGAAACCATGCACACTTCTCCATTCTCATCAAACTTTCAATTAACTCATTTATTTGTATTAGTAAAGACCCATTATTTCCTAGTTCATTCAGTGGATTATTATCAGGTATTATTATCATCATTTTGATGCTCCAATTGTTCCCTATTTGGCCTTTTGAACTGGATTATATACCCTTTTGACATGCCTCCCATCATTCCTTGAGTACCATGCTTTCTGGCATAAAATATTACAGGATAATCTAATACTTTACCTGCCCAACTCTTGGAACAAGATATTTATCCAAACAGCCCTGGCAATTTAGAATGGGAATGGCAAATAGATGGGGAAACAGTGGCTGACTTTATTTTTTTGGGCTCCAAAATCACTGCAGATGGTGATTGCAGTCATGAAATTAAAAGACGCTTACTCCTTGGAA